TTTCTGAGACAGGTGGGGAGGAGGAAGGATGAAGCAAAGCTTAGAGACATTTTGATGGGCAGGGCAGGGCCTTGAGAGGGCTGATTCTGCAGGACGGCTTTGACATTTTCACAAAGTAAAGGGTGCAGTCATCTGCTGAGAGCTGAAAGGCAGCAGAAGAGGAGCCTGGGCCTGGAGGCCAATGGAGGGTTTTGGAATAATTGCACCAGCTGCCATTTATTTAGCACTTAGGCATCAGACACTATTCCAAGCCTTTTAAATCTATTAACTGATTTCGTCCTCAGGACAATATTATGAGGAAAGGTACTATCATTATTTTTAAGATGTGGATACACCTTCAACATATACAATTTTTATTTGTCAATTACACCACAGCAAAACTGGGGGGAAAGATGTAGAAACTGAGGTCACACACCTAGGAAGTGGCAGAGCTGGGATTTGAACTCAGGCAGTCTGACTGTTGGGGCCTATGGGAAGAACCACCACAGTTTCCTCCCTCCCCAGTCCCTGTGGAGCAGGTATATGAAGGGTCAGCAAGAGATGAAGAGGAAGGTTGTGAAACTGTACATGGCAGGCCCACGGGCAGTCAGCTAGCATGCGGTGCCAGGAAGCCCAGGAATAGGAGCAGAGAAAGAAAATGTGAAGGGCAGGTGACTGAGTTAGGGTTAGGTACAGCAAAGATGAGGGCCAAGGTGTGTGTGACAGAGAGAGAGAGAGAGAGAGAACAAACAGCACATGCAAAGGCCCTGAGGTAGGAAAGAGCTCAGCTCATTGGGCAGAATAAAACAGTATCAGAGTATAGTAGCAGGGGCCGGGTCCAGTGGCTCACACCTGCAATCCTAGCACTCTGGGAGGCTGAGGCAGGAGGACTGTTTGAGCTCAGGAGTTTGAGTATAGCCTGAGCAAGAGCAAGACCCCATCTCTACTAGAAATAGAAAGAAATTATCTGGACAACTAAAAATATATAGAGAAAAAATTAGCCGGGCATGGTGGTGCATACCTGTAGTCCCAGCTATTCAGGAGGCTGAGGCAGGAGGATCGCTTGAGCCCAGGAGTTTGAGGTTGCTGTGAGCTAGGCTGATGCCATGGCACCCTAGCCCTGGCAACAGAGTGAGAGTCTGTCTCAAAAAAAAAAAAAAAGTATAGTGGCAGGGCTGGGGGTTGGTTCTGGTAGGCAGCGCTCAGATCTTGGGGTACTTATTTAGAATGCGGACCCCTGTGCCCCATCTCAAACCTACTGAATCAGAATTTCTGGGGGTGGGGCCTAGGAACCTGCTTTTTAACATTTCCAGGTGATTCTTCTGCACACTAAGATTTGAGACTCACAGACACAGGGCCTAGTGGGCCATGGGAAAACTTAGGTTTTATTGTAAACATACTGGGAAGTCACTAAGGGCCGCCAACAGGGGAGTGATGAGATTGGGGTAATTAAGCCATGCTGCCTGCTGTGTGGAGAATGGATTGGAGGGAAGCAAGGTTAAAAATGAGAAGACCAGGTAGGAGGCTATCACAACCCTTTGGGAGAGGATGATGGTGGCCTGGAATAAAGTTGGCAGTGGAGGTGATGAGAAGTAGATGCATGGTCGAGGTGGTCCGTAGGAAAGAGAGAAATCAAAGCTAACTCCTACATGCTTAGGCCAAGCAATTGGGTAGATGGCATTGACATTCTCTGAGCTGATTGAAGACTGGTAGAGGACCTGGGTTAGGTGGTAGTAAAAGAACTAAAAGAACTCCAGTTTGGACACATGAAGTTAGACATGCCTATGAAACACCTGAGGGGAGATGTCAGCTAACTAATTGGATATATTGGGCAGAAACTCTAAAGAGAATTATGAGCTGGAGATATAACATTTGGAGTAGGGGCATTATGTTAATACACTGTATTTAAAACTATGGAAAGTGATGAGATGCTATGAAAGGAATTAGTAGACAAGCAGAGAATTGTTTGAAAAAATGTCACTGTGCTACATTGTGTCACTAACCTAAGTGACCTTAGGTCAGTCATTGCCCCCTCTGAGACCTTCCCCACGCAAACAATGAGATTGGACTAGATCATCACTAAGGTTCTTTCTGTAACATTTCATGATTCCACTGTTGCAGTGTGTGCCTTTAGATCATTAGGCTACACCAAGAGCCAGTTCTTCAATTTGCCCTGCAATCAGAAAAGTCTGAATGGGTCTTCTATAACAGATGCCCAGGAGCCGGGGAGGCCGTTTACTCTCTAATCTCTGGAAAAAATGGCCACTGTGCCTGTTATGCCACACTGCCAGCTGCTGTGCAAAAACTTTTGGGTGTCAGTCTCCATCTGCCGGGGGGCGGGGAGAATCACTCTCAAAAAGAAACTCCTTCTTCTGCCAAGGCTTTGGGTGGGGCTAGAAAAACTGTTCATGACAACATTGAGTCAGCACATTCACCAGGGTCAAGCTCACAGTTGGAGGGAACTGGAAGAGGGCCTTGGTTGAGAAGAAACCTCCTGCTGAGGCCTGTTCAGTCTCAAGGGAATGAAATCAGAATCCACGAATTCATAATGGGGATCGACAAGGGAAAAATGGCACCATGCTCAAATCAGGGTTTCCTCTCACAGTGTTAGAGCAGATGAGAGTGAGCAAAAAAAAAAAAAAAGGACTAAATTTATGAACTTCATCACCCCAAAAGGTAATAAAACTTCAACATTGGTTTTTAAGAGCTGCAAAATGGATTATGTGAAAACAGGCTCTTTGGGGGACATGTGTAAACTACTAAGGCTATGTCAGCGAGGACAACTGGGTCCTCCCCAAATGTGTGTTAGTGTTTGTCATATTTCTGGGGGTGGAGGGATCACAGATCTGACCTAGTATGACATTTACATACATTAAGAATCAACATCCTTTCCTCTAATGGAGTTGTTTTGTTGCCTGAATCCTTGGGATTAAAATAAGGGCATTTGGATGGCCTCTGAAAATGCACAGCTTCTTCTCATCTCTGAGGTCAAATATACTGAGAAGTCTTATAAATGACATTTCCCTGTAAGACAGGTGATGACAGTATGCAGGGGTCCTCAAATTTTTAAACAGGGGGCCAGTTCACTGTCCCTCACATTGTTGGAGGGCCGTTGGAGAGTGCGGCGCACATTCCACACATGCGCACTGTGGGCCTGGGACAAGTCGGCGGCTAAGCGGGACAGGCAGAGGCGGCAAAAACACCCGGTGGCCGGATAAATGTCCTAGGCGGGCCGTAGTTTGAGAACACCTGCAGTATAGGCACAGTTGATGGGGACCCAGTGACATAAGCCCACCCTCCTCACCAAGATCACACTTTGCTTTTTCACACAACATATATTTATTCAGAAAAAAAATTTGCAATAAATTATAATAAAAAAGATGACATGAAATACAGAATCCCACTAGCAGCTTTGCTTAGTGATCAAGACATTTTCAGGAAATATAACAAATGATTACAGAGTAAGAATCAGAAAACGGTGAAAGGGAGACTAATGCAATGTCACCACATGGATTTGAACCATTTCTTCCCTAAAATAACAGGTGCAGAGTCCTTGCCTACCAGTTGCATCTGAAATCTTTACTTCAGAGGAGCTATGAAATAGTACCTTAGAGGACTTAGGAATTAGAGATTTGGGTGCTGGAATAGGCATGGTAGGGAAGCAGATTTCTTATGTCTGGTCTAGGTTTTGTCTCCCCTATCTAGAGATTGTCTAAAACTCTTGACCCTGTATACATTCCGTGGTGAGCTGAAAAGATTGAGGCAGTAAACCAACTTAGTGCTTTGACCTGATGGAGAAAGAGCTAGGATGCTGCACACATGCTGCACAGATCCCCCACTAATCATACTCTTTTTTTTTTTTTTGAGACAGAGTCTCACTCTGTTGCCAGGGCTAGAGTGCTATGGCGTCAGCCTGGCTCACAGCAACCTCAGATTCCTGGGCTCAGGCGATCCTTCTGCTTTAGCCTCCCGAGTAGCTGGGACTACAGACATGCGCCACCATGCCCGGCTAATTTTTTCTATATAATTTTAGTTGGCCAATTAATTCCTTTCTATTTTTAGTAGAGATGGGGTCTTGCTCTTGCTCAGGCTAGTCTCAAATTCCTGAGCTCAAACAATCCTTCTGCCTCGGCCTCCCAGAGTGCTAGGATTGCAGGTGTGAGCCAGCAGACCGGGTCCTAATCACACTCTTGATGACCCAAAGATCCCAGGTTGGCAATATACTAGAAAATGGGCCCAAGAAGGGTACTTTCCCATGTTATGACCTTGCCCCAGCGTCTATCATCTGCCTCTTTTTGTGATCACTTTCTGGCCTAGTGGAGATGACAAAACTTCTGCTTTCAGTCTTCCATTAACTAAGTTCAACACCCAGTCCCTGACCTCTCAGATCTTCAGCTATATGGCACCAGTAGTGTGACTCCTATTTCCCCAACTCCGAATCAGGAAAGGGTTTAGCCGGTATATTGCAAGATACGTACCTTCTTTTTGCTAAAGAACTCAACTTTCAAGAGATGGGAATTGGAGACTCATTTGGTGGCAGTGCCTTGGATGCGCTAGAAGAGTCATGGAGTCAATACTTGAGATCGTACACAGAGCCTGTGCATTATGCTCCTTGCATCTGATGTTACCAGGCAAGAATGAGTCATTTCAGGGTGGTTTTAACTAAAGAAAACCAGGAGGAAGCCAACTGCATCAGACAGTTCTGCAATCAGTGGCTGGTGGCTTTTTTGTCAACCAACATAGATTTTTTTTTTTTTAAAGGCTGTCCCACAGCTTGAATACATGAAAAGCTCAGAGGGTCATCTTGGGTTGGTACGTGGTTGGTCACACTGGTCAGTCTTTCACACAGCACTGGACACAGTGACTGGGAGCCAAGGAGATTCTCTAAACCCTTTTTTTTTTGCAGGAGCTGGTGATGGAGCCCAGAGTCAGCCCTGCTGAGGGAGGAGGTGACATCTGCCCTTTGGGACTTCAGAAGACCAGAGAAGGGGTTCTAAGGGTCATCCTTGTTACCCTTGCAGTGAGAAGGAGTGATAGCTCTAGACAGGCCTAACTGAGGTGTACAAACCCTCTTTTGTACAGTGGTGCAAGTGTTGTTCTGGACATGGATTTCTAAGGAGGAGATGGGTCCCACAGACACCCAGGATTAGTCTTCATGTAAAATTTGAATGACAGGAAAGGGACAGTGGGATGCAGGACCTGTCAAACATGAATATTCTCACTCCTGAAATACTCAAAGTACTTCCACTCTGATCATGATTCTCTCACATCAATGGGATGTCATCTCTAATAGTCCCTAAAGTTATGCTACTAAATGCGATCTGAGATAAGAGACTATGGTTCCACCCAGTGTGGATCCACAAAAAGGCCAATGTAGCAGAGACATAAAGATGTCATTGTAGTAGAAATGCACGAATGTATGTAATGACCACATGTAGATGGTGAACTCACTGTTGAGGATACCCAGGGAGTCACTAGCCTTACTCAGACTTCATTCAAAGTGACAGAATGAGGGGAGTGGAGTGCAAAGGAGTAATACGGGGAGGAGGTGAGTCAAAAGTGCTTATATGAAGGACTACAGACAAGTCTGAGCTACAGCAAGTAGTGCTTGTAGGCCTAGAATGGAACCATCTCAGAATCTAGGCCTAGGGTACCAAGGACAAACATGACGATTGGGTAGGAGGATAACAGACACATCCCCAGGTAAAGGAGTATAGATACAGATCTCTTTGTTTTATAAAGAGAAAACACAAAAACACCAAAATATGGTAACTTTGGCTTGGCAATGTAAGTCTAAAGTATTTTGCTGTGTAGGATATGGTAAAGGAGGGATTAGGAAACTCTCTTCCTTTTACACTATAAACAGAAATTGAAATTCTGCAATAGACCCTTCCTGTGGCATGACTTTTTAAACCATTCTGAACTACTTGGAGCCCGAGATCTTCCACCTCTAGCATCTCGGAGAATAACAAGAGGAAAACCCTTAGTCTTCATCACTCCCAAGCAGAAAGCCCAGAAGAAACTGAATAGCACGCTGGCGGTCACTTGGAGTCTGTCTTGCCATAAGGTTGGGTGGAGGCCTTAGAAGAAGACTAGTGAAGAGAGTAGCTAGGGGAAGAAAGAAAAGGGGAAACCTTTATCAGACATAACCTAAGCAAAACCTCAGGGTTGGGGGTTGGGGGCCCTGGGGACAAGGACAGTAGGAGGGAAGTGACTGCCATGTACCTGGACACCCAGTAAGGTATACACTGTATAGGATGCACATAGACTGTCCTTGACAAACACCCCCATGCAGCCATTCTCACGGGCACTCTTACCAATCATGTTGGCACTGATGTTGTTGTATTCTGAGAATTTTAAGAGTTCTCGAAGGAACGCCATCAAGTAACGGAAAACATTTCTATGGCATCTTGGAAGCTGGGAAATCACCTGTTTTTAATAAAAGGGGTGGGCAGCGAGGAAAACAGGTGGAAGAAGGTAGTAAGAGGAACTTTATAGCTGCTATAAAAGTAGTTTATAATCCAACCCTTATAGGACCCCATTCATCTGTCACTACCCTCCTTTGGGTAATGACACAATATCTGATCAACACAATACCTGCCAAATTATTACTTCGAAGTAAATATGGTCATACTCTTTCGCTCCAGTCCACTCAATGCTCAAGCTATGCACATGCAGTCATCACATATTCACATGCACACCCTGCCACATAAGCAGGTTGGTGTTAATCTGTTTTTTTTTCCATTTTCGCAGACAGGTAGCCATGGTATCTACCAAGGTGAATGGTTTTCCTTACAATGTCACTTAGCATGGATGGGGACCTCCTCCCAATACTCGCTAGTCTGAGTCACAGGTAGTCTCAGCTATTGTCTACCAAAATCATTTCAGGATTAAAAACACACACTGAGAAGAAAAAAGAAAGGCTCCCAAGTGTCAACCACCCTTCCTGGTAATGTCAGCAGGATTTCCATGTACAATCAGCTTCACCACTTTTACCCTAGAGTAGAGGTATCCACCTTACTATGTTTTCTGTAAACAGAAATAGGCTAACTGGGAAAAGGTGGCAAATATAGGAAATAACACAACCTAATATTTAAGGGTCTCAACTCTCAATGCTGCTGTCCCACCATGAATAAAAGATCCAGACCCATCCTACCTCATAGCTGGCTGCCTACCTGGCCTTGTAAAACTGGTGATTTCTCTATGGGAGAACCTGCATCAACCACATCCTTAGATCAGTAAAACTCACCTGTCGGCAGATCCGGGGATCATGAGCAGAATCAAGACATCGCTGATATAGCTCATAACAGATGACTGGCTCTGGCAGGGCTTCCAGGAAAATAAGCAGTGCTTCAGCCACAGAGTGATTACTACCAGCTGAATCAACTTAAGTCAAGGGACAGGAGCTCCAGGAGAAAGGCCACACAGAGACCTGACTGACTCTTTTCCTCAAGCTCCTGCAGGGACTATTTCCCTCCTCCTATTCAGGACACACTGATCCTAACTGTGGTTTGATATTTTATTGGTCCATGCACTCTGAGGCTCAGCTGTTGCAGAATTGGTCAAAGACTCTTGGGAGCTTTAGAGCCAGGGGAATAAGAACTGCTCAAAGACTCTTGGGCCAAATTTTAGAGTCAGGGGAATACAGCCTACAGAATGGGAGTTCACAGTAGACCAATCCTATAAACTAACTGCCAATGTATCCAGTCTTTCTCCCTGCCTTAGTGACAGTACATGTGGTAGCAAAAGTGATTGATCACCTGAAGGAGAACAGCACCAGTGCTGTGGCTATGTTCCACGCCTATTAAAAATCGTTATTACCTACCCCTTGCTTCCCTTTAATAAGAACCTGATACAGAGAGAGGTCAAAAGTTCCTGAAAGGAATTAAGAAGCAACTGAATAGGCAGTGATTATCTTATAATAAAAGACAATTACAAAGAAAATAAATATGAAACCAGTAAAATCAAATGTAGGTACAAGGAAGAGTTTGGCCAAGTACTCATCCAGCTTCTTAAGCCTTGATTAGAAAGGATACGGATTGTCTCAGGAATGCTGGTATCCAGACAGTCAATGATCTGCTGTAACTCTTCCTGCATCCCAGGGGTTTGGAACAGGTCCTCCTAGCAAAGAAATCAGAATGAAGGGAATAGGCAAGATAATCACCCCTAAGGTTCTGAATATAACCCAGGGATTGAAATAGCAGCAGGAAGCAAAAGGGAAGGGTGATATATGTATTAATGATTAGTAGTGGAGGTGTAAAAAATAGTACCTTTTTCCTATATCATCTCCATAATCTGTTGAAATTTTATCTCAAATAAGAAAATGGTCTTTGAAGGTTTTAGCCTATACCTGATAAGGCAGGGGACTAGATGGCTAGATCAGGCAACCAGGTTTCCACTTCTAGTCTCTTGACAGGAAGTATAAGGCAGAGTTCAAACAGTATAACCACATTCAAAATGCTGATACTAATAAGTGCTGGGGAAGGAGTAAATGGCATGCTCATATTAAGCCTTGCTTTCAAGTTATATTACTCTTCAGTAGGTAAGAGAATATTATCCTTCAATCTGATCCCAAGAAAGTTCTCCTTTTGGGGGGAATGGGTTGTGATGGTTAGTATTTTAAATAGGATTTAAAAGAAAAATCAGGACCAAGTTAAAGAAATGGGTTTAAAGTCTGCTTTGGACTTTACAATCTGTAACAGCAAAAGTAGGCATTATAGACTTAAGTATGAAGCTATCCAGGGGAAAAGAGTGTGCAGCCAGGAGACAGGTGTTCTTAGTTCTGGCCCTGGCTCTGCCACTACATTTAGACCGTGGTCTTAGGTAAACAACTTAGCTTGCATTCTTCAGCTGTCACATCTGTGAATAGGGACATTTTCACCTGCCCAGGCAATCTGACAGTGCTGCTGTGTGGAGGGAGCTTGGGAAAGTTAAAAACACTATGCTGACATGAGGTATTATAATTTCCTACAGGACTTGCACACCTTCCAAAGTTGTAGGGAAGGTCTAGGGTCACTTACCTGTTTACAGGCGTGTTTGAATAAGTGATCTACTAGAAGCCAGATCTCCTTGGGGACCTGAAGGGGTCTCTCACTGGCACCCTCATCCAAGGGAACCATCTGCAGAAGGGATTTCTCCTAATAGACGAAAAGGGATGAGAATCAAAGGGATCTCAGAATAAAGACTTCTCTGTGTAACTTAATCTCCTTCAAATTCTGGTCATGTGGGTACAATGTGATCTTCATCTCTTAAGATTTTTCATTTCTTCTCACTGGGGACACCCCTGGTCAGAAGGCACTTGACACTGACTCACAGAGCTAAAGCATCTCCTTTCCTAAATGTTCCACTTAATTGTTCAACATTTCATTTGGGTTTACAATGTTTATCACATAGATGCATTGTGTCTAAATTCTTTCAAGGGTGACACTGAGAACTAGGGCTCCAGTGATACAATAATAGTGGAGCCTACACACCACTGGTGACTTGTGGGACCATTAAATTACAATTATCAATACAATACTTTGAGAGACCAGGGTCTATCCTTAAATTTTTGTTTACTTTTAACTTATTCTTCCTTCAGGTCTTAGCATAACTACTACTGTTTTCACTGTTGATTTAAATGCGGTTTTTTGGCTCTCAGGAACTAAAGAGAATTTTCCACATTAGACCCACATAGATGAATACTTAAAGTTTGACAGAAGTTCTAAACTTAAGGCACCAAAACTCATAAGCATTAAGATCCAAAAACAGTAAACCGAATATAGCAAACCAAGAACCAGAAATACCATGAAAAGTCTAGGGGCTGAGTCTAAAAGTTATTGTCTATATTAATAGCTCAGCACAAATTTCTATGGGCTTTTACTCCTTTCACCTACCATTCTACTATCAGATTCTTCTGAAACAACATAAGAAAAAAAAATCCAGAAGTGACATAAATTAGACCAATGAATACTTTGAATTTGAATATGGTTAGGAAATAAACTCAGTTGTCTTATGTTTATATAGTCAAATACAAATTATATGAAAAAGAGGTTTGAAATAGTAAAGGCAGCCTTCAGAAAAATCCCAGTGGAGAAAATCATGACCAAGTTTTTATTTCCTCCTCTCTCCCCTATCTCCAGTTTAAGGTCATATATTCTGTATGTTTAACCTTAAGAAATTCTTGCTCAACATTGTGCCACCTGTAAATTCTATCTATGACTCCCAGCCAAGTAGCTTTAAAGGAAATAAAATGAGTATTTCACTACTTTCATAGGGACCATGTACACTAAGGCTGAGCGGAGGTCTCTTCTTAACACTGTGTTCTTTAATAAGCACTGATGACCCTTTAAAGCTTTTCTAAGAGAATAAGGAAGAGAAGGGAGCATGACAGTTGGTTACCATTTAAAATCTTTTTTTTTTCTTACTGTAGGGAGCATGACAGTTGGTTACCACATAAATTTATTTTTTTATTTTTTTACAGTTTGCTTCCTTTCTTTCCTTGGGATTGTATCACTTGATATTCATGTTCCTATAGTTGCCAGAACTTCTATCAGTGGCTTATCCACTGACTTCTTTCCATTTGCAAGTATTAAATCCAGGCACCCACATTATATCTGAGCCAAAACACTGTCCATAAAGCACTATGCTAACTTTCTGGATGAAATGCAACACATGTACAGATTCCTCAGCAGATGTCTCCAAACTTACCATATATAAATTATTCACCACTGATTCATGCACTTTTTAAAAAATCTGACATCCAACTAGAGCTTTTCCTATACTAAGGTATTAAAGCAACACAAGGCACTGTCCAAGATAAAAAGACAGAACATGAACTGCTCTTAACAGAGAAGGGCTGGGAAACAGAGCTATCTCAGACCTTAGTGGTTTTAAAAGGTTAATAAAATGTCAGTAGGTTATATACACTGCTCACTATCCATTTTCAAATTCATGTGTGATAATACAGAATGTCATTCTTGTGTTTCTGAAGTCTAGAGAATGATCATGCACAAGAAACAACTTAAAAAAATCTCATAAATTATCCTGAACTCTGATTTGCAGAGGGAAACCAAGACACTGTCTTCTTTCAACAAGACACAGCCAGTGCCTGATAAGCCCACACTTTGTAACCTTTGTGCTAATAACTAAAGCACAAAAACACTATACCTACCCCATCATCAAAATGCATTAAACTCCACCAAGTGGAGAGGTCCCATGAGATGCTCTATCAAAGTACTTCAAGCATGTTTATCAATCCCATGCTCCTCTACTTGATAGCCTTGTGTGGAGCTGGGTGCTCCCCGAGTGAACGGAGAGGCAGTGAGGTACTGCAGAAGGGGTAGTTCACTGGGCAATCAGGAGACCTGGATTCTAGTGCCCTCCAGCTCACACCCCTGCTGTGAGGAGCAGTGAGTTAGTTTAGCAAGTTTTTCAACTGAAAGGGCCTTGGTTGTCTCATCTGGTAGAATGAGAATCCCTTACCCCATCTGAAGGCAGAGGGCTGGACCAGATGATCACTTATGATCTCATTCAGGTCCATGATTCTATTCTATGCTCTATTTCTTGACTGTATTTGTGTATTCATTCAGTAATTAATTGCTATTATCACTAACCCAAAATCATTTTTAATGCAACAGAAATCTGGTTTTATTGTCATTGGAAATAGAGGCTAGCTAACTGGTACCCTCCTTTAATTCATGAGCTTTCAGGTACATCACCACAGCTCTTTCTCATTTCAAAAATACAAATATGGAAACTTGAGTAGTGCAATAAATACCTTTCCTGTACTTCAAATATACTTAACGCATTGACTGCCATGAGAGTTGTATTTAACTCACTCTAGTTTTGGCCCTGGGGCCATGTGAAGCATATATAAAATCTTACTTGTTGATGTTCTTATTGTTACAATATTGACAATTTAATTCTAAAAAGGTGGATTAAATGAATAGAAGTCAATAAATTTTATTTTTCTACTTATGTTTACCTTTAAATTACACTCAAAGTTTTCATTCTACTTTTGTAATTAAACACTGTGGCCACAAGGAAAAGTTTCTGTTTGTGTGTGTGTGTGGCATTCACTGTGTTAAAGACAGTTGGCAGGACTTTAGGGGATTCTCACCGAGTCAGAAGTCTCTGATATGGGAATGCCTAGGGAAAAACTCCAAGGACCACAGTTAAGTGTTAATCAAGCAGAGAGAAACTCTCATAACCACCAATGGGTTGCATTACCTTTTCTAGGAAGCTGTCTTCGTCCTGAGAGCAGAGCAGGAAAAGAAAGTCAGTGACAGATAGAAAATGATTAGAATTAATTTACAGAACTAGAAACAGATCAGTATTAGAACTCTCTAGATTATCAGACCCATATGCTATAAATAACTTTGAAGTCTTCAAATAAATTATGACTGCTGAAAATGTAACACATTCTCTGTATGCAAAGTTCTCTATGTAATGTATATTGAATTTCTGTGCAGTCTATTCAGATTATCACTCAAGAAACATGCAGTCCTAGACTTCTGTGCCCTTTGGCAGTGGTCAGCTGACCCAGCCAAGTGCCCACTGATGTCTCTTCCTGTTCACTTGCTGCTTGAAGGCAGGCCCTGCTCACTGTATTGCATGGCTTCTCACCTCATCCTAATGCCACCTCAATGAAAGAATGTGGCTGTTGGCATGACAGTAGTCATTTGGAAGGAGATAGTAAGGTTACTCTCCTTTCCACTGCCATTCTTCTCACCACAGCTAGTCTCCTAAGCATTATTCCAGACTCCTTTTCCATCTCCTCATACGCATTCCCCTCCTCAAAAGCACCTAGAGTGTCCAGATTTGAAGGTTCCTCTGAACTATAAATTTCATTTCAGATCTTTGTGGATCAGAAGATCATTATCCCCTCTTTTTATTTTCCTATTGGGTATAAGAGAAAAGAGAAGCAGGGAAGAGGGATAGGGAAGAAGGTACCTTTTTAATATTCCTGTCTTTTATGGTATTATTATAATCAATAATAATAACAGCAACAATAACTACTATACTACTTAGGGAACATCTGCCACGTACCAGGAACTTTGCAAAGTGCTTACATACAATGTCATTTAATCTGCACATATGTGCAAAGTAGATATTATTACCATTTTATAGATGAAGAAACCGAGGCTCAGGGGTAAAATTATTTGCCAAGGCCACACTTACTATCAGTGAGTAAGTGGCAGAATTAGGATTAGAACCTAGGTCTGATCAAGTCCCCAGTCATCATCACCTAGGTTCCCTTAGTCAACTCAGAAAGGACAATGATTGCTTCCTGGATGGAGAGGCAGGGAGAAGCTGTGAGAATGTATTCTCTATAAAAGTTAAGGACAGTAAGATAACCACACTTACAAGGCAGCATGGTTAATGGAAAGAGTATAGACATTGGTGTTAGACAGTCCTGGGTACAAATCTTTATTCTGCCTCTTATTAATTTTGTACAGATCCCACACAAGTTGCCAAACTTAGTAGAGCCTCAGTTTCTTCATCTCTAAAACAGGGATAATAATATTTACAAGGAAGCAGCCTAAAATCAAGCAGTATGCTAGCAGAAGGTATGGGTCTCTCAAAGCTCCTCACACCTCCTCAGCAACTCCCAACTGGATTCCTCCCAGGCCTGCTATGGGCCACTAAGTGCTCAAGTATAAATCACATGTCTCAGGTCTGATAAGTAAAAAGAGAAACTGCAATCTTACTGTCTGAGATGTACAGGGGCTGAGGGGTAGTATGTGTTCCCGGACATTCCAAGTGGCAATGCTGAATGTATTTCCCTCCAACTATTGTTATATACGGCAATTAGGTTTTTAGTATTATTAGATACTTTATAAGTTAAACATTCCTTTGTGGGTTTACCTACACTCTTAAATATCACATGAAATAATTGGAGTGGTAGTGCTTTATAAGGTACATGGTACTTACAGTATTGTAATTATAATACTTTTTAATGTGCAGTAAATTCTGAGTGCCAAACATATAATTATTATAATGTTGGACTACAACCTCTTATAAAGTTTAGGAACACGTGTTAATAAATAATCACCTTTCTGATACACTTATACTTTCCCTCCCATGAACATGTGACACATGATATGATGAATAAAACTAGGCAGAGATTTTATATACTAACTTGCCAAACCAGGCCCTCAAAGAAGTTTTCTTTGAGCAGCGGCCATCTACCAGAACAAGGCAGGATACATAAAGGAGAAAGACATGGTTTGTCCCCGACCCTGGTTTGCAACTAAGTTGATTGATGTAAGGGGTTCCAGAATTTACAGTCTGATGTTGTTATAGCTCACAAATACAAATTTTCAATAAATGGTTCCCGGCCCTTAGGGATATTAAAAAGGTCGAGATGGAGAGGTTATATTACAAGTGGAAGAGGCAGAAATAAAGACAGGCACAGAGAAGGTAATCTGCAAGGTGAGATTAGGAAGTTAGTCATCGAGTTTATGGGGAGCATAGAGAATGTTGAGAAAAACAGTAGGAAATAAATCTGAACAGGTACGTTGAAGTCAGACTTTAGGGGACCTTCAATGACAGGTTAAGGAATTTGGATTGTATTCGGCTGGCATGGGAGAGCCACTGCTACCTTTAAGCAAGGATTTGATAGGCCCCAAAACAGTAGTACAGAAAGATCAATCTGACAGCCCTGAACAGGAAAAACTGAAGGGCAAAGAGGGAGAGGGGAATAGAGGTGGAGGAGGGAGGGAGTGGGGGAGAGAGAGAGAGAGAGAGGGAGAGAGGGAAGGAATCATTTAAAGGCTATCAAGGTAGGTCGAGCAGAAGAGGGTAAACACCCTAACTAATAATGGAAAATAATATATTTCTTTTTTGAAAAGATGAATGGATATAAGAGAAAACTCTAAAAAAAAAAAATCAAAAGGACTTTGATTAAATACTGATGGAGGGGTAGGAGATTTACATTGAGAGTTTACTTTTCTGGGTACAGGTATAAAGAAAGTAGATGTAAATTACATTTAATTCAATCCTGGTCTCAATTTTGAAAACAGAAATATCACTTAGCCTTCATTAGTAAACAGCCAACTTCTATGATAGTACTAAGGTTACTACTACCAATTATTAATACTTAGTTTAGTTGGTATTAAAGGGTAGAAATGCCCACTCTCTGCAAAAAGCTATGCATTGATCACATTAAAAAAGAGAACTTAGTTCAGGATCTCCCCAGTGGGGCAACATTGGCATATAGCAAATGCAATGCAACATTTGCTCTTAGAAGAATGTTCCCAGTAGTAAATGCAGCTAAAATAATATAAAAATCATTTAGAGGTGGAAGATTCAAATTTAAAAATGAAAAGCAGAAAATTCACGGAAATTGAAGTTCTGAAAAGGTTTAGTTCATATAAAATACAGAGAGAAGAAACACAAACCATACACCTAACAGGATAAGAAATAGATAGTTCAATTAGTAAAAAAGTAATGAAAAGATCCCAGGGGACAAATTAATCAACAAGTTATTACTTTATTTCAATTTTTTGATATTGTTCTCTCAATGGACATGTCCCCAAGCAAATATGGTTTCTCTACCAATTCCTCAACTTTTTTCATCTCTGTTTACAACCAAAACCCTAAACCAGATCTGGTAAGTTTTTGTTTTTATTTATTTCAGCATATTATGGGGGTACAAATTTTAAGGTTTCAATAAATGCCCTTCAGATCTGGTAAGTTGAAGCCTGGTCTCCTTTCCATTAGCTGATTCTACAAGCAACACCGGAATGTTCCTTCAAATACATCAATTTACAACCTTATACTAATCATCAAAGCCTTCTGATGGTTCTAGACGCACTCTGCCTCAAGCCTAAGCTCATGTGTTGACTTCAAGACTCTCTATCACCTGCCCCTACCCTGCCTAACCAGCTTTACACATTCTTATCCTTAATCTTCACTTTTTCTGGTGAAATCACTTTCACCTTCTACCCTTCATTCAGGATGTTCCTTATGCCTGGAAGAGCCTGCTTACCCCATATATTAACATATGTTTCTTAAGTACTTGGACTTGACTAAAAATACTTCTATGACTAACCCCAAATCACTTTCCTAATTTACTTCATTCTTTTGTGCTGAACTTATTTCTAAGTTATGTTAATACAACATGCATCAAATATTCATTAAAACTAAAATAGGATGATTCTGAGATTGATTTTTACAGGGATTAGCTGGTCAATCAATAAGCTTTTATAGCATATAAAGGCCTGAGTAAACAGCACAGGAAAGGAATCTATTGTTAATACAAATTACAACCTCCATAACATTCATTTTAAATGACCTTCCAAAATACTGACTTACCAAACACACTGCACATTAGTGAGTAAAGGTAGTTAATGTTCAGATTATCTCTAACCACACTCCTTATTAACCATGATCTAAGAGTTAGCCATATTGTACATGCAAGTATACCTTCATCACTACTAAATTATAAGAACTCACATAAATTCCATAATACTTCGCATCCAGTGGGTAATGAATAAATATTGATGATTATTTGCTACTTAATATGCTAGTTAATAAAACAGAAAATCTTTCTTAATTCTGGAAAAGAATAAAGATGATTACAAACAGTAGATTCTAATCTGTTTCCCACTTGTGTCAATTCTGTTTCCCACTTGTGCCAATAGCAACTATTCTAGGAGTGGCAAAGTAGTCACTGTTATTGAGAAGGGTGGAAGAATGACAAGGAATTATGCCAGTTATTTCATTCTGCATTTGGTGGGAAGAGGTGGGAAAGGCATAATAATCTTTCTGAAACAGTACATGGAGAGACAACACATACATTGAACTTACTTCTGGCTTCACCAAAATTTTAGAGTAAATAACACAATATAGGACAGGTACCATTATTAATAGCATCATCTCATGAGATTTGAAATATCCTTGGTCTTGGAAAAAAACATGAACAAATATTAGACCTACTGAATCATTTTAGAAGGTCAGAATCAAGTCAAAACAGAGTAGAAAGGTATTAAAGATGGGGTACTGTACTTTAGGTTTCTTGTTTACTGCCCCACACTAATACAGATTGAGTATCCCTAACACGAAAATCCAAAATCCAAATGCTCCAAAATCCGAAACTTTTTGCACGTCCACATGATGCTCAAAGGAAATGCTCATTGTAGCATTTTGGATTTCATATTTCTAGATTAGGGATGCTGAACCAGTAAGTATATAATGCAAATATTACCAAATCCAAAAATGTCTGAAATCTGAAACACTTTTGGTCCTAAGCATTTTAAATATGGGATATTCAACCTGTAAAGATAATTTCCTCATCACTGAGATACAGGAAGTTAATAACACTGAAATTAAACAGAGTGAGAAAAGAATCAGAACCCTAAATCTTACAAAATAAAAGCTTTAAAAGAATTAACGATGATTATGCAATACAATTTAATAAGTACTCAGCAATTTTGTAATTTAAAAAGATCAAGGTTCTATTTCTTTAACCCTCAATCACTTGTGCACAAAAAGGAAAAGGGCTTCCTAGAGAGCCATTAATTCCACTAATGATTTTGGCTATTTTCTATTTATGGACAAACAGGGTGGAATTACCTGATTATATATTTTATATAAAACATAAACTTTTTATGCTGATTGAACCTCCTTCTGGCCAATCTCAGAATATGGGAAAATTACAGAATTATAATGCCTCCACCAACTTTGACCAAAAATAAAGCTAGGTTGTAGTTTACAGAAAATAAGGATGAAGGAAAGAGTAAAAAAGGAATAAGTTTGGCCGGGCGCAGTGGCTCACGCCTGTAATCCTCTCTGGGAGGCCGAGGCGGGCGGATCGCTCGAGGTCAGGTGTTCGAAACCAGCCTGAGCAAGAGTGAGTACTATAAATAGAAAGAAATTAATTGGCCAACTAATACATATAGAAAAAATTAGCCGGGCATGTTGGCGCATGCCTGTAGTCCCAGCTACTTGGGAGGCTGAGGCAGCAGGATTGCTTGAGCCCAGGAGATTGAGGTTGCTGTGAGCTAGGCAGACGCCACGGCACTCACTCTAGCCTGGGCGACAAAAAAAAAAAAAAAAAAAAAAAAAAGGGAATAAGTTAAAAAATACCAAGAAGAAAAGGTCAGACAAATTTAGGAAATGGTGGACCCTTGACTGGACAACTGTTACTGGACTTTTAAAAAGTCAGTGTTGGCCAGGTGTAGTGGCTCACACCTGTAATCCTAGCACTTTGGGAGGCCAAGGTGGGATGATCACTTGAGGACAGGAGTTTGAGACCAGCCTGAGCAAAAGCGAGATCCCATCTCTACAAAAAAATAGAAAAATTAGCCAAGTGTGGTGGTGCACACCTATAGTCACAGCTACTTGGGAGGCTGAGGCATGAGGATTGCTCAAGCTCAGGAATTTGAGGTTGCAGTGAGCTATGATGATAGCACTGAACTCTAGCCTAGGAGACAGATCAAGACCCTGTCTCCAAAAAAAAAAAAGTCAATGTCATTAAAGAAAAAAAGTAGGGAACTGTACTATGGTAAAATAGACTACAGAGACCTCATCAAATATACTAAATGAACCCAGATTGGATTTCAATTTCAAAACAGCTATGAAAGAAATTCTTGGGACAATTGGAGAAATCTGAATGTGGACCAGATGTTCATTTACTATGGATTACTGTTAGCTTTCAGAGTGTAATAATGGTATTGTGCTTATATAGAAATTTTTCCTTTTTCTTAGAGATGTAGGCTGATGTATCTAGTGGTGAGGCAAAATATTATCATTTAATTTCAAATGGCACAGCAAAAAAAATCTCTGTGTATAAATGTATGTAAGGCATATGAGGGTTTACTGTACTGTTCTTTCAATTTTTCTGCACATTTGACATTTTTCATAATAAAAAGCTGGGACAAAGAAAGCTGGGAGATAGTGTTTGGGATGAAGGGAAGGGGTGGAAGAAAAAGGAAAACAACTTCATCATTCAGAATGTATTCTAAAATGTAAAATACTAAATTTGAAAGACAGAAATATGGTGGTAGAAGAAAAAACAATTATCATGAGAACTACAGAAAGGCAGGAAATGAATTTCTAAAGAAAATGGTTTTCTCTTAGAGGTAATACATTCAGTCATGAGGGCTCTAGGGAAACAAGTATAATTCCAAGAAAGAATGCTGGGGCTGGACGTAAGTGTTTTAATCTGCTATCTGAGTCACAGCTAAATCAATTCCATGGCAACAGAACAGATCACACTCAGACAAGCCAGCAGCCTGCCTGTTGATCTAGTCCTCTTTGCTAGATGTTACAATCACTTGCTCTGGCTAGGCCAAAAGGAACAACATGAATATCAATGTAATGATGGTATATGGCTCCCACTTCACCTAATTTTCTTTGGTAAAAGACCAAGAATATACTTCTATAGCCCAAAGAAATCTGCATACAAATCCAACAATATTTTCATTTAGAAAAAAAGTTCCTTTTTTAAATTTTTATTTTTTGTAGAGATGGGGGTCTTAATATGTTGCCCAAGCTGGTCTAAAACTCCTCCCACCAGGGCCTTCCAAAGTGCTGGGATTACAGGCATGAGCCACAATGCCCAACCTGAAAAAAAGCTCTTAATAGGATGAACTTGTTACTAAATCAATTTATGTTACTGAAGATAATAAGCACGACTTCCTTCCTAAGATAAGATCATTGATACTATAGCTTGACTTGGGGGAGGGGTTGGAAAATCATCCTTTCCTAAGTGAATCATATTAAGTAAGTATCAAATTTCAATATATATGATGATTATCTGTGAAGCTGATAAAATGCAGATTCCTAGGCTCCACACCCTGAGATTCTGATTCCATTGACAGAGGTAAGTGGAGAGGAACCTGTACTTCTAATAAGCACCCCTGTGGAGTCTGATGCAGGGACTCCAAGGTTCCATCACAGATCTGTCCTTCCCTAAGTAGCCAAGTTTTTCTTTGATTAGATATAGTGTAGTATAGTGAGGAATACTAGATTGTAAATCAGAAAATCTGGGTGATAGATTTCTAACTAACTTATGGTATCTGACTTTGGCTAACTTAATGTCTCTGTGCCTCAGTTTTCTCATATGTTTAATGAGGATAATACTGCCTGCCCCATTTACTATACACAACACACACACTAATTTATATAGAAGTGACTTGAAAGTATGAAGAGCTTAACAAATAAGCATTATAACTTTGAGAAGGGAATAGTTAATCTTATTTGGTGAGCTTAGTATTATCTATTATATTCCTGACAAGAGCCAACTACAGATTAGTCTCCCCTCTTTCCTCTTAGGCTTAATCTAATCAAAGCAGTGCTAGAGTAAAGTGACATTCTTTTTTATTATTTGACAGCCCCTTCCCTGGCGCACAAAAGAGAGAAAGCACAGAGATAATGAGGACATCACATAAGTATTGTGAAAATTATATGTAAAGGAAGTTTATGTCTTAGGATGTTTCTTACCAAGTCTATGAGTTTGGTAACAGGAACTTCTCGGATTGGTCTTTTCATTCGGCACAAAGCCTCTAAGGATGTACCAAAACAACTTGGGAGGTAATTTCCACTGATGGTTAAGAAGTAATCTTTGCCTCGATCCAGGTGAAGGACAAGAATATCTTCAATCTTATCTTCCCCGGAGTTCAGGATGGTCACAGAGTCTTTGCTGACATACACATCAAGAGAAATGTCCACTGTCTCATCTGAAATGTAAGAGATGGTACATGGTAGTAGAGAGACTTCCAGTGGAAAAGCAAAACGGGTATGATCAACAGAACAAGTGTCCTCTAAAAAAATCATTAAAGAACAAAGGGGAAGAGATTGGGCTCACAAAAGAAGTGTCACCAAAATAATGACAGTGAAGGTAAGAGACATGTGGTTAGAAAACAGGAAGTTAAACCAAAGGGATGGGAGTCATGAAGAGATGGTACATCGCCAGCAGAGACAATGGTAAAGGGAAAACTCACTTGGCTCCAAGTAGCCCTCAAAAGGTTCAGCTCGAAGCCATGGCTTGCAGTACTGGCTGTCATTAAGCTTAGGGATGAAAGAAAAATGGCAGGGAACCTGTCCATTGTTGCTGATCTGGAACTTCTCCTTTTGTAGTTGCCGAAACTTCACATTCTCAAACACAAACTGGGGAGTAACAGACAGACACAAACATGCATCACTAGTAGGGGAAGTCAGTCAGTTGGATTATTCCATAGAGGATATGAATAATAAGGTAATTATTAACCAGGTGTGCAATTGCCATATACATTCACCATCTGAGCCAACTTTACACTATCCACTTTCATGTATTATTATACTCACACCAGCAGAGGAGTTAGGTGGCTCTCGCTACTTCTATGGGCTATTCTCATCGTTCCTGGCATTCTAAGAGGGTAACCCATCCCTGGTCCAGCAGATTCATCCTGTGACCAAGTCCTGGTTTCTAAGATATAAATTAACTAGCAACTCTGAAAAATTAAATAAGTGCAGCTAACAAATGAGAGCTTACTATGTGCCAGGCACTATTCCAAGAGCTTCACATGTATTGACTCATGTAATCTTTACAACCATGCCTACTCCAGAAAAGGGAACTGTAGCTCTGACAGGCAAGACCCTTGCCTGTAGCCAAGCATCTACTAAATGGCAGTGCTGGGATTACAATGGAGGCAGTTTGACTCCAGCACATACTGTCTTAACTACTTTGCCATGTCGCCTTTTCTAAACACCATGGTTTCCTCTGTGCTAACCACAATGGGCAGTAAATGGGGAGGCCAGGTATTTTTGCTCACCTCCCTCCTGCTGAGCTCTAAAGAAGGAAGGAAGTCATTTTCCATTCTGTCCATGATGCGTACGATGTCTTCAAAGACTTTCCGATACCTCCGTTCATCCACAACCTTCACCTGAAAGAAAATGAACTCTCCTTTTAGTCTCACATGATCCTAGCTCATCTCACTTTGAGATTACCTAACAATTTAAAACTGGTCATTACAGCAATCATTTACAATAAACTGCAGTGCAAACAGCATCCTCAAATACTTTCTGATCTCTCACTTCATCCACAACATTCACCTGAAAGAAACCTTATTTTAGTTTTATGTGCTCTTACTTTCTTTCTTTTTTTTTAATTTCAGCATATTATGGGGGTATAAATGTTTAGGTTACGTATATTGCCCTTGCCCCACCCAAGTCAGAGCTTCAAGCGTGTCCATATCTCTAAGAGTCTCTAATAATTTTTAAAAAGTCAGTAAAGCAAACATAAATTGAACAAAGTATTATAGAAGCACATACTTTAAGGTAAAGGTAAGGTTAACTGGCTAACGTCTTGGAAAATTAAACTTCTATGTTAAGAAGCTTGGCAAGGTCAGGTGTGGTGGCTCATGACTGTAACCCTAGCACTCTGGAAGGCTGAGGCGAGAGGACTGCTTGAGCACAGGAGTTTGATACCAGTCTGAGCAAGAGCGAGACCTCGTCTCTACTAAAAATGGAAAAATTAGCCAGGTATGGTGGTATACGCCCATAGTCTAAGCTACCTGAAGGCTGAGGCAGGAGGATTGCTGGAGCCCAGGAGTTTGAGGTTGCAGTGAGCTATGATGACACCACTGCACTCTAGCCCAGGCCACAGAGTGAGACAGGTAGAAGGGGGGAGAAGGGGAAGGGTACGCACTGAAGCTCTGGCAGAGTGGGGTGGGGAGGGGGGCAGGGGCAAGATATGTAACCCTAACAATATTTGTACCCACAGAATTTGGGAAAAAATTTAAAAAAAAGAATATTCGTTTGCTCCACTGTTAAGTCATTTGGTGGTGGAGAAAATGTGACAGTTGTGGTAAAAGTGATTTCTTGCATTGCACAAAATGAGAGTCAAAACATACCAATTACTATTTCTAATAATCATCATAAAATAGTGAAACAGCAGAAAATATGATTAAAGTACTTAACTCTATTAGCTGCTAGGCACAATGCCAAGAATCATAATATCATTGCTCAGATTATATAATAGCAAAGGCATGTTACTAAATGGAACCTATGGCCATTTTAGAAAACAGCTGACACAAAATGTCCTAGAGTAGAGTAAAACCATGACAACAGACAAACAAATCATCTCAACGAATAGATCAAAAAATTTCCCACCTGACAAAGCACTTTCAGCTTCCTGATATAGCTGTGTTTTTTAATATTAAAAGTCCATACAAATTGATGCCAAAGATTAACATAATTAACACAGAATTTTAACTTGGGACATCAGTTTCTTTTTTAGAATAGAAAACTTCACAAAAATCCATGTTAAAAAAATAAAAAGATTAATATATGCCGCAAAGGTTATAAACAGATGTGGAAAATAATAACATCAAAGCTGAATCAAGTGCCTCAGACTTTCACATATTTGAACTGTAACTCTTAAAGAACCGAGGGACAAGCAATTATTTTAGTGTCACCAGGGTCCATACTATAGTGTTAGGTTAAGATGAATTTTATACTTTTATAAAATTTTGTGACTTTTTACTTCCAAATGTATTTTATATATGTCTCTTTATTTTCACAACCTACAAGGCTACCAAAGCAAGGGATTTTTTTTTCCTGATAATTGAGAACATCAAGATATAAAAGATCAACAAACTTGCTCACTGTCACAGTTAATACCGAAGGTAACTTATGGACTGCTAGTGTTACGATCCTTTCCAAAATACTAGGTATATGACAGAATAAACTTCGGTATGTCTTAAAAGTATAGCTGCCTGGGCCAGTTAATCACAATCTCCAGGGGAGGGGCCCATGCATCTACACTTTTTTAAAAGCTCTCTAGGCAATTCTTATGTCCACTAAAGTCTGAGAACCAATGCAACAGATCACAGTACCAAGTGCAGGGGTGAAACTCTATCTCAGCTTAATCTCAGCCAGCCCACAGAAAGTCTTTTGAAATTAACTGGCCATGGTGCACTTGGCTCCTTTGTTAACAGTTATTGGTGCCAATGGTGGTGAAAATGTAATGTGGTTTTTAAAGCCGCTAATCATAGCATGCCCAGAGTCCAAAATATGGAGTGGTTACTCAATAAAATCAAACCTTTCCTCAGCAGGTTATTATGATCACAGCACTTATGGCACATCAAAGATAATGCGGGGTGGGGGGAACCCCAAAGAATTTCACCACCTGATATATCCATTTTAGAAAAGGAAATTACTGACAAAATTAGGAATTCAGAAAAAAGTATTAATACAATGAGCTAGATCTTCATGTAATAACATGGATAGCACTCCAAGACACACCACTGAATTAAAGAAAAAAAAAGTTTCAGACCAACACATATATATGAGACCATTTATGACATATACAGACCTACATACAAAATAACATTTTGTCTATGGGTAAACAGAAAAGCATATGCAAAGGTTGAGAACTGTCTAATACAATAGCAACTAGCCACATAGGAACATTTAAATTTAAATTACTTCAAATTGAATACAATTAAAAATCAGTTCTCAGTCACACTAGCCATATTTCGAGTGCTAAATAGCCACCTGAAGCTAGTAGCTACTGGACTGGACAGCACAGCTATAGGACATTTCCATCATCACAGAAAGCTCTATTGGATAGCATTAGTATAACAAGATATAAACTCATAAAGGTAGTGGTCTGGCTGGGGAGTGGGGGTTTAGGCAAAGTTGAGAATAGGAGACAACAAGGATTAAAGAACTTTAGCTTTATCTATAAATTCTGCTTTTAAATTTTTATTTTAAAGAAAAAGCACTTTTGAATTGATATACAATTTAAAAATCATTAAAAACTAGAAAGATAAATCTTTATTAAGAGATATACAAAAATATATAGGAAGCCCAGAAAGGTTTTAAATATCCCACTGGGAGTTCTGGATTAACGTGTCTTGGAGTATTAAAAATATTCCAAGGCTCTGAAAACGAATACAAAAAAAAAAAAAAAGAGCCAAGTATAACTGATAAACCAAAGAGGTTAGGGTTTTAGGCTCCTTAAAATGCGTTAAGAGAATCAAATGAAAAAAAGAAGACAGCCCCCAACCACAAACTAGAAATTAGATGGGCTATAAGTAGTATCTGAAGGTATATTTAGTCAATAAGTACTTTAGAACTATAGAGGCATTCTAGGGTAGTGGAAAGAGCATAGGGTTGACAGTTAAGCAGAGTTAAGGTTTGAATCTCATATCTCCTTCTAGTTTAATGCTCTTAAAGAAGTTATTTAAACTTGCTGGTTCTCCAACTGCTCATCTGTCAAATGGGAAATACAGTTGTCCCTCAGTAAACACTGGGGATTGGTTCCACGACTGCCTGCATATAACCAAATCCGCATATACTCAAGTCTCACAGTTGGCTCTGTAGAACCCAAGGATACAAAAAGTCAGCCCTCCTCACACTCGGAGTTTTGTATCCTGTGAATATTGTATTTTCCATTTGTCTTTGGTTGAAAAAGTCTATGTATAAGTAGAACCGTGCAGTTCAGACCGGTGTTGTTCAAGGGTCAACTACCTTTAACTCAAAGCATTGTTGTGAGGAGTAAACGAGATGTATGCAAATTGCCTAGCACAGTCCCTGGCACACAGCTACTAGCTGCTACCTGAGGAATTCTTACTCTTATTGATCATTATTATTATTTTAAAATTTCAAAATAGACAAAAGTCAAGACTGTCTTGATAAAATTTAAAATCTATTCTAAGACCAAGAACTAATTTTGTTCTTCAATGAAAAGCCCCAAAATCATTCTTCTTTAAAACAGGAGCAGGATAAGACACGTTGGTGATACCTATCTCAGAAGCCCAAAAAATCAGCATACACATGGGAGAAAGAAACCTATTCTACTATGCTCTTCACATGTTCAAACTCATTGATCCTCTTAAGTAGGCACTGTAATTACCCACATTTTATAGAGGAAAGTGAGGCACAGGGATATTACATAAATTGTCTGTGGTTGCACAGCTAGAAAGTGGTTAAGCTAGGATGCAAATCCAAAAAGTCTACCACTAAGTCAATCCTATTAAGCACCGCACTATATATGTTCTGACAGATAATATTACCATATGTCTGGAAAATCTGCATGAAATAACCTAAATGTACTGGCTGTAATAAATTAAATGAGCAAGATTATTAATATAAGATAAAACCTGCATGCTAATAACACACAGTTAAAATACAATGTGAAAAATGTTATTCATAATAGAGACAAAAACTTAAATAACTGGCTATTAATTCAGCCCAGGATTCAATAGAATTAAAGAAAATAAAGAAAAACCTATGTTCCTGGACGGGAAAACTTCATTATAGTAGGGATGACACTACACCACTTAAGGTAATATACAGATTTGGTTGTATTCTGATCAGTCTGTGCCTTTGTTCCTGCTGTCCCCACCCCTTCACCCAGAACCCTCACCGCCTTTTTCTCCGTGCTTCTTTTCCTTGCTATTTGTCTTATGAAAAGCTACTCATCCTTTAAAATCTAGCTTTTAATGGTTCTTTAGGCATACTGACTTTAGGAAGCTTAGATTACCACCCAACCACAATCTACCATGAGAAAAATCTGTGTCACTAAAAGGCCTGGAGTGTTAAGAGCTATATGATCAGCATTTGGGAAGGTGGAGGGCCTTGGTTACGGAACATTTATGGCTCACTGAATTACTGATCTGTTCTGAGTCTAAATAATGCTCTAGTAATAGATATTTAACACACAAACAAATGAATGAACAAACAAGTGCTTACCCCAATATGGAAGAGGGCACTAACAGGCTTGTGGTCACTGGTTTTCAGTTCCATGTGACTCCGATAATTAAGTTGATTAACATTTGTTCCTCTCCAAAGAATTCGGTCACACCAGGCTGGAACTCGACATTTTCCACTGAAAATAAAGAAATGAGTTATAAAGAAAACATACCACACAAGAACCCATCACACTGGTTTAGATCTGAGTTAGGCCCTCTTGTTATATGCTCCCAAAGAACTGTGTACTTCTCCTTACCTACCGGCTACTTTACCTTATTGCAAGCTCTGTGAAGGGACTACAGTCCCCACTGAACTCCTAGCACCCAGCATAGTATCTGGAGCAAAGTCGGTGCTCAATGAATAAATAAATAGTTCTCCTAAGATTAGGATTACATCTTCAACAATGTCACCACAGGGGAAAATATAATAGTACCTTCTTAAAATATCCTCAAAAGGACAGGATGATATTCTGAACACTTCCTTTTCCTTTGTTCTATGAACTTCAATGACACTTCACAACAGATAGATAATTCATCAAGTCTAAAACCCCAATCCTCTATTCTTAGACTGGGCTTAATCTCTGGAGAGGAATAACAGTAGAGATTCTCCTTTAAGCCTGGACTTTTAGAGACCAGTCTAGCCTTCTTCTTATAGAGATTAACTAACATCTAAGCACGCAAGTCTGAGCAAACAGCCCATAGGATACGAAGGGTAGGGAGAAAAACCCTATTCATCATTCTATTAAAATAAGCAACACTTTGTACACCTGATCCAGGTGACACAAATATTTCTTATCAGTAGCTCTTCAGTTGATTCTCAAGTCAGGTGAGTGAAAGAAACAAGGCAAAGTGTACAAGATCTATCAGTGTCACTTTTCACTTGCTGACCAGCTCCCTCAGAGAATAGGAGTATAAACAGACTACTCCCCACCCTAGTGCTCTCAGAGTCTGAAGCAGCTGAATATGCCCTGGGATTCTTTCTTTTTCCAATTTTTGTGCTCAGCCAGCTAGGAAACCATAAGAAACAAACACATAGCAGGTAGAGGACAAATATTAATAGTTACCAAGAACTCAGTGACAAGAACACTTTACTAGGCTATTAGAAATCAAAAGGCCTACTAGACAGTGGTTCTCAGTGTTTTCCAGCAGTGGCAGATGTGGGGTTTCAGCATCAATATTTTTAAAAGCTTCCCAAGAGATTCTAGTGTGTTCTCAGGATTGAGAGCTACTGTGCTAGAAGAACCTTTCATGGCTCTTTGCTTTCATCTTCTGCTATCCTGAGTAATAGTGAGAAGCAGTTTGGAAAAAAAAGAGCCAGAACAGGGCAATAGGTAAGAAATAGGGGCAAGATAAGGAAGGCAAAAATCTAAGCAAGTCTGCTAAGGTGAGAGAAACAAGGCATTGCAGACAGCTCATGAAGCTTCAATAGCCCTGACATATAAGTAGTACTTTCCTAAGATAGGCTCACCTTTGAGTATACATGAAGGAAAAACTCTTTTATAATAGTACTGAGCCATTAGGTTTTCATATCTGCTTACACCATGACCTAAAATTCCTAGCCCCTTATCAATCAATATGGAAAGAAAAATAAGATCAAGCCTTAACCTATTCTGTGAGAAAGTTCTTATTACTTTACCTGGAATCCCACCGGTCTGTTTTAGAGTCATACTTGTAAGTGGGGATAAACTTGATTTCCCCTTCATTGAAGTCGACAAAAGCTTTTTTCTGTGTGCGCTGAATATTTAGCTACAGATAGAAAGAAACATCACATAAGCAGGGTAACACCATCTTAATATAACTGACAATCAAATTGATGAGCCACTTCCCCATTTCTAAGTATCCAGTTCTATAGCCTTTACAACTATGAGAGTACACACAGAAAATTTCTGTGCCTTATGAATTAAATCTCAGTATTCCTATGGCATCTAAACTACCATCAGATAGGATATTCATTAATAGTACATCACTAAGTTTTTTGTTGCTACAGTGGCCAGGGATAAAATGGAAAAATGAAATCTGAATAGTCATAAGTTCCTTGGAGCTGGGAGGGAATCACCCAGCACAATTTTCATTTAAAAACAAAAAAAGCACACAAATGTTAGACGCATAATTCCATAAACCAAATTCGGTGAATAGTTACAAATTGTTTTGAAAGTTATCTCACTCAAGTATTTTACCAGAGTTACATAAGACTCAGAATTTATTCCAACTGTACCCCTTTTGGAGGCAGGATAGAGAAAGAAAGGCAAAGAAATCAGCCAGCCAACCACAGTGTGAAAGTAGACACCGCCAAGAAAGGCTCACTCAAAAATAATTCTACTGCAAGATATTTGAATTCTGACTATGTCTGAGGGTCAAAAAGGCTCTCATAAAGATTTAAATACATTCAAATCAAGTCAAAACATTTTCTTTTAGCAGCCAGTATCCATATGTTGAAGTAAAAATTCAAGTCAAATGCCAGGTTCTAAGACAAATTTACTGCCTCAAATATAGGTTCCTGACTATCAGGTTTTAAATAAATGTTATAGAATCAAAGTTTTTCCATAAGTTTTAACATTAACAGCTATATACCAGCTTGCTCCTACTTATCAACCAGTTCCCATTAACTCATAGCCTATGCTCTTCATCCCAGACAGACTTCTTTTCTATGCTTCCCAATCCCCCTCACAGGACCTCCCTCTTTTACCTCTTAGCTGTTGCTCAGCCTGCCAAATAATCATAGAACAGTTTTCCCTGTTCCATCTGCCAAACCACATCAACATAGCAGAAAAGGCCCACTTCCTCCAGGAAGTGTTCTCCAATTAACCCCACCCATTCCCCAATTCATTTATACAAGTCTCTGAAATCTCTTCTTGATAAAGACTTACTGAATGTTATATTTATTTTTTATCACTAATGTTATCTCACCTCCTCCCATCCAAGCACTTAATAAAAGCACTATAAATCTTGTGTGTAGTCAATGCATCACCAGTCACACTGTTTTCACAAGACAATAAGACATTTCCATCTCTTCCTAGAGTAAGACAAGCCTCCCATGTGTCTACTTCATAACCCTAACAATCTCACCTGCTTATCTAGGAAAGTTCCTATGAAACAAAAATTTACTTACCTGGTCAAATTTCAAGAGTCTCTGAAGGTCATTCTTATTAATAAGACTTTTCACCTCACTGGCATCAGGCATGCAAAGTCTATAATTCAAATCTCCCAACCAAATGACAACGCTGAGGATCAAGAAATACATGAACAGAAGTAGCAGTAATTAGCATAAAAGCAGTGAGAAAAGGATAGAGAGAGGACAAATAGGTAGATTATTGATAAGGGTTCATTCACCACTATCTGACAAGTGTTTTAAAGCTGTAACCAATCCTTTCGGGGCAAGTTTTATCAACACCTGAGAGAAACAATGGAATAGGTGGGAGAATAGGCACTCCATACATGAAGAATGAAAACAGGAAATGCAATATATGTATGGGATTTAGAAGCCAAGGAGTTAATGGACTGAGAAACATGCAGTTTATTTGCTGGACTAGCTTCAGAATTTTACCTGGCTGCTTGCCAGGTCTCTAGGGGAAGAGAATCTGAACGTTTTCTGCCTCTCAGAGCCCAGAGGTTCTGCAGGCTCTCCGCTAAGGTCTGCATGCTCTGCATAGCAACTCTCCCAGGCAGGGCCCATTAGGAAAAGTACATTCAGGGCTCTTCAGTGTAGCCAATCTGTCTACCCTTGTCCAAAATCTGCAATCCAAGTTCCAGGCAAGAAGGGCCTGGCATGTTGGGATTCTCAGCTCCCATTCATAGCAACAGGCACCTAAATATGCTGAGAGCCCCACAAAGGAAGACCCTGAAATTATCACATCAAAATGGATTCTCCTTTGAGCTATCTCAAGTTCCCAGTGGGTCACTCTGCCATTCTCAAATGCAACATGAAATTTGTGGAATCCTAGGGACATAAATTTATGGAATTTCAGCACAACTTCATGACCATAAATTTCAAGGCCTTGACTTTACCACTATGAAATAGAATTCTACATGTTCCAGGCCGGGGGCGGTGGCTCACACCTGTAATCCTAGCACTCTGGGAGGCCGAGGCGGGCAGATTGCTCGAGGTCAGGAGTTTAAAACCAGCCTGAGCAAGAGCGAGACCCTGTCTCTACTATAAATAGAAAGAAATTAATTGGCCAACTAATATAATAGAAAAAATTAGCCGGGCATGGTGGTGCATGCCTGTAGTCCCAGCTACTTGGGAGGCTGAGGCAGGAAGAGTGCTTGAGCCCAGGAGTTTGATGTTGCTGTGAGCTAGACTGACACCACGGCACTCACTCTAGCCTGGGCAACAAAGCGAGACTCTGTCTCAAAAAAAAAAAAAAATAGTACTGTATACTATGCACATCAATATAAATTGAAATGTTCTAGTAGCTGAGTTTAAAAAGTAAAAACAAGTGAAAGTAACTAACAATAAATTTCATTTTAATCAGTATATCCGAATTATCATTTCAACATGTGATCAATATTTTAAAAATTGAGATATTTTACATTTTTCCCTATTAAGTCTTTGAAACTCAGTATCTAGCTTATGAGTATAATATATCTCAATTTGGACTAGCTACTTTCAAGTGCCCAATAGCCACATATGACTGCTGGCTGTCATATTGAACAGCACAGATCTAGAAGGATGCAAACCCTACTGTTAAGAATGGTTTCCTTCAGAGAGAGAGACTGGCTGGGGAGAGTAGAGGATAAGAAATGAGGGACTTTTACTTTTATCTTTTATTACATTTACAATGAACATTTCTATTATATAATAAAAAACAACAAAAATTGACTCCAACTGACAGATCCCTGCAGCATTATTCTAGATGCCCTACTAATACAACTAACCTTTCCTCTGATGTCAAATCTAATTTTTCTGTTTCAATGAGTCTGCTATTTCTCAAAAACCCTCTCTTCTTTGTGATCTCAATCCCCAACTGGTAATCTTTCACTCTTTGCAGCTCTACAGTTTCTCAATATACTTAATCTCTTCACTATTCAAACTCTCCTGTAGCCACTATTCAAAGGCTACAGGAAAGTTAACCACTTACTCATGTTTCATGATGTTCAGTTGCGGGAGGGTCTGATTTGGGACCACAAAACTCATTCTTGCACAGATGTCCTTATAATCTTGATTCCTTCTCTCAAAGTCCTCCACGTGGGCAGCCAGGTGGGAATTGACGATACAAAAGGTAGTATTGTGAAATACAAATCTCACAGCTACCCCACCTTTGTTTCCCTGTTAGCAAGAGTAATTATTCACAGTTAGTACATACAACTAGAATTGAACTTCACATGGACAAAAATTATAGTCGAGTTCATTTCCAAAGTAACTCACCATTTTCCCCATGACTCCGGTTCCAACTGTTTCTGTAGCAATATCACGGATATATCGATACTGATCCTTTCTGGCAAATATAAGGAGCATCATCCCAACAAGACGGACTAGTTGAACCTATGAGTTCCAGGGAGTTAAAAAAGGTTAATGTTAATATCACCTTTTGCCACATATCTAACTTCCTACAACTAATTTTCCATCAAGATGACATACCGAAGTCCAAATCTGAATCCGTATTTCCCAGTGGAGCCCATAAAACAGAAACCAAAATTCTCTGGGGAAGCTCTAATCTGGCTCTGACCAGTAAGAATTAAAAGCCTTGAGGGACAGTGAGTATACTCAGCTCTAAATCCATTCTTTTAATCACTATTAAAAGTTCAAATAATAAAGCCACTATCCTAGCTTGTTCTTTCCACCTCTCCTTTGTAGTTTCTGATTTTTAATTTCCTAAGAAATTTAAATCTATAAAATAGCAATCCTTTTTAATTCCATTATTTTTAACCTGTTTTACTACAGTGAGAAAATGTCTGAGATGTGTATTAGTCAGGGACGTATATGAAAGAAATAATATCGCCAGGAGTTTTATTACCTATATAAACTGTTAGAAGATGTAGAGAAATATTACTCAGATTACTCCTTTTAGAGAGCTTAGTATGGTAGCCCTGTAATTAAAATAACTCTTTTGGTAGCTAAATGCTTCTACCACATGCCTTCTAAAGACAGACAAATTGGCCCACCTTGCTAAAGTCAATTCTGTTCTTGACTTACAACCAAAGTTTAGAACTCGTTTAAATTCTACACCACTACTATTCTTGCCCTGATTCCAAAGCATACCCTATGCATCTACATGCTTCATATTGCTTTTTCTGTAAAGCATTCAATTCTGACCATGTCAGTGAGCAATTTCAATCTTAAATTTTTATTGCACAGCTACCTCATATGTAATTATTTTGAGCTAATTATTGATAAGAGAACAATAAAATTCCTTTTTTTCCCTCCTAAAAGCTATCTAAGAAATGAAAATATAGGATCAGAAAGTTTAGGACAATTTTTTTCTAGGAAATACAGGTGATGGATTAGTTTACCCAATCCCTGTATTACACACAGGGAAGAATTCAATTAAACCATTCTTTTGGACCAAATTATAAATAATGGAATAACTCCTAGTGAGTCCTATTTAGTCATATACTTAAAAAGATAATTAAATTTAGCTTACTTTCTTATACTTGGCTTTGGAATGCAAACCTCTCTCTACAGCCATGGACCACTCTTGTTCCTTCATTGATTCAAAGTAGAAAAAGGCTTCTGTGCTCAAGTCCAGCTCTTGGAATCTGAGGGAAAAAAGGATGTGAGATCTATACATGTCACATAATTATCTTCGGCTACCTACCTCCTGTCCCATTTGCCAAGACATTAGACAAAGAAAAGAATGGGAGAGAGAGAAGATTTTATAGAACTGCTCTTTTCACTCAGGTTATCAGTAAGGATGAGTAGCTTTCTTTTCTAAAGAATCCCCATCAGCATATTCATAGGCTATGCAAAAACCAAACAAAAAAAAACCTCCCAGTAACAGTAGATAGAGCTTTGCTCTTATATCCTAGGAACAGGATACTGTTAGAATTGACTTTGAGTGTCAGTTTCTATGAAGAATACAATTTTCTATAGGTTTCAAGAAAATTAGGTGCTTCCTTACACCATTTTAGGCAGCTCTTCGTTTCTGATCTCACAAATTTGATCCATAAGTTAACTCCCAAGTATAATCTATGGTAGGTTTTTACCAAATTTTTTTTTTTTTAAAAAAAAGAAAGGCAAAACACCATATAGACTAGCACCAAACATATAGCCAAAACGAAATTCCGTAAGTGTTCTTTACCCGATGCAGTAGAGATCAGGAGGATTTGAATCACAGTTCAGCCAAGGTTCTAACCCGCTATCTGGAGACTGGCCATTCACATTCCAAGTTCCAACAAAAAATCTAATACATAATACCAAAAAATAATTTGAAAACAAAGATCAAGTATGAACCAAAAGAAGGCCTCTCTTGTCACTTTTACACAAGGGTATGCTCACAGTATGCTAACATAATTCCTCAAAATGTTTTGCCACACATAAGAAACATCTAGAACACAAAGGCAGTAAGCTTATTTTCTCTAAATTTTACATTAAGTGAAACTACAGAAAGAAATGAAGTCTCTATTTTTAAAAAAATGCAAAGTTAATTGCTCTACCATATTTCCTTTCAGTTAAAATCCTTCCAAACTCATACTTGAAGGGAGAGCTTATGGTTGGGAAAGAGGTATCATTGTGCTGTAAGCTAGTCTAATATGAATAAATGTTCTATAAGGGGCTGTAGTTGAATTCAAAAATTCACTTCCCAAAGGATTACAAGGACATCTGTTTAGGAAATTCTGATGAGACAGATATACTATTAAGGGGGAAAGCAGAAGGGAAAACTCATGACTGTCTTAACTGTTTACACACAAATATAAGCATCATGGGGAATATGAGGAACTGGAAGTTTTAGTATAGGTATATAGCTATGATTGAATTAGAATAAATGAGGCATGACGGGATAGCAGATGGGACTAGAATATTGGATTAGAAGGGTACATTCTGTTCATGAATAACAAAGAAAGGTATTGTTGCTTCATATATTGGAGATACATGCCATGCCACATCATGCCTCACATATGGCATACACGGCAGGTGCAGAAAAGGGGATGCCAACAAATAAAGGTGAAATAAAAATAATACAGAGGAAAGAATCTAAGACAGACCTCTCAATCAAGAGGTTTGGGTGAAATTTTCTTTAGTTAAATTACCCAAGTAAGTTGAGAGCTAGTAGTAATGGTGGACTTTAATTTTCTAATATTGGCTGAAAAAATCCTCAGCAATCCAGAGACACAAACACATTTTCTTATGGAATGTGCTAGGGGACAATTCTCTAATACATGTGAACTTGATTTGGTTCTTTAAGATTGGATAGAAATATTAGTAGACATGGTATTATCAGTACTTAGAAAATTCAAGGGAAATTGTAGCATGTATCTTATTTCAGATATGCAGGTTACTGAACAGTTTTAGAGACAGGGGTTTGAATCAGATAACTATTCCTTTTTATCATGCCTTGATTCATAATTAAGCTAATATCTTAAATATCAAAAGCCCTTTGTCTACTATACCTACTAACTTTAGACTCAGTAAGTAGAAGAGAGACTAACCTGAAAGTCTGAATGTTGACATATTCTTTCTCTCGCTTTGCCAGGATATGTTTGATGAGACCCTCCCGCTGCCCAGACTGGGTATTTGGTACAAAGAGCTTCCGCATGGTGTTGGTCACTTTGGGCTGTTCCTTGTTAGAAGCTTCTTTTTCACGTGGGAGCCTGGCAAATAAATGAGAAACTCAAAAGTAAAACTACATAAAATATAATTCTCCTACAGAGGAAATGTTTTGTCACAGGACTTACATTCTATTCACTGAAGACGGTGGGGGTGGAGGTTCTCGATGAATACCTGTAGGCTGATTTTGTGAATTTATTTTCTTGTCCAAATTCATAGACGAAAAATTGTCCTCAAACCCAAGAAGGCCTGAAAGACACAGAACCCAAAGTCAAAGGGAGAAAAAACTAACATCCAACATATCCAGGGTAGACAGGGCATTGATTTGATCATGATTTGGTCAGTGGCATTACTAAACAGAAAGGTGCTATAAGAGTAGGAATTACTTAGACTGGGATTTGAAGAAGCACATCCATCCCTGAAGCACTGATAAACTAACTAGAGCAGTAGAAATTTATGATAATCTGGAACCTGAATAATAAGTAACATTTCTTGAATTATATCATTATCTCACTTAATCATCACAAAAACCCCATGAGGTAGGTACTATTATTAATCAAATTCTTCCATGTTACAGAAAATAGAGGTTAAGAGTTGTTAAGTAACTTGACAAAGGTCATATAAATAGTAAAGTCCTAGACCTGGGATTCAAACCCAGGCTGTCTGGCTCTAGAGGCTATAGTTCTTATTACTCTGATAAATTGGCTCCTGAAGAGCTACCATGCCACAGAAAGGATTAGGAGTAAACACTGGTCAGTGGGCATGGACTTGATAAAACCACTTTACAGGAAAATGTGTCTGACGTTGACCTTAATTCACATCATTGCATCTGGTCTGATAAAATCTATTGACTCTGTAATGATCATAGCAACCGGGGAACCAGCAACCTTTCAGTACCTGAAAAAACAGAAGGATTGTCCTTAGTGTCTAATTTCTGGTACCAGCTGGATGAGTCCTTTTGCTCTGGAACAAGAAGTTGTGACTGAGCTGGAGAGACAAGGGTCATGGTCAGAAACTGGGGAGCCCTTCATTGAGTGGAATTTACCATAACCAAAAGCTATTCTTTCAACACCCCTTAAATGCAGGGGCCAGCACCATTTCTGAATGTATGGAAGAAACTAAGGAAATAAGTGCAGCTCTAAGGGTCATCTGGAAACAGGAGACTTATAGTCTGTGGTAAACTGTGCTTGAAAATTCTGGGAATTGGCTCAGTGTTCTTAAAGCTGGGTAGATTTGTTCCCTGACCTATTCTGTGTTCATTCTTGAAGAAAAAAGAAACAGCTATTAGGGCTTAAAGGGTGAAGTACTTTGCTAAGGGCTACTTTCCTCTGTATCAGCATGTCAGAATTTCACTCCCATTGAAATAGTAGAAAGAAAATCACTGAGTCTTGAGTTACCTTCCTGAGCAGCAAGGACCTCTGAGAGGAACTTCAAACAGTGTTCCTCATCAGGTATTTCAAAGCGTCGCTCTCTGGTCCAGTCCCCCTGAACTCGAATTTTGCAGCCACCTAAAAAGAATTGAAATTCATACACATACAGCTATGGGATACAATGTCTTATTGGGGTCATATTCTCAACTTATCAGGTTAATAGGTGAAGGTCCAGATCACAAATATTCCAGACTTCTAATGTAAGAAGCACACATATAAGATTAAGGGAGTCAGTAGAGGGGGTGATGCAGAGAAAGAACCCTAAGGGAAGTGAACACTAAGGGAACTCCTAGGGCTAATGAACTGTGTCAATGACCAACCTAATCTAGGAGTATGATACATACAAAAATAATAGCTTCTTGCATTCTGACCTGCCTCTCAGATATTAATGCAGGGACTTTCTAGCAAAAGTTAAATTTCTCAATCACCCTCCTCCCATCCCTTAGCTGAAAATTCCTACCATTTCAAATTTGATCACACAGTAAGAGTATCTGAAGTGTGGAGGGAATAAAGGAAGTAGGATCATCTGTTTACAGGCACAGATTCAATTAAATTTACAAACCAATTAAAAAAGAAGAGAATAGTGGCCGGGCGCTGTGGCTCACGCCTGTAATCCTAGCTCTTGGGAGGCCGAGGCGGGCGGATTGCTCAAGGTCAGGAGTTCAAAACCAGCCTGAGCAAGAGCGAGACCCCGTCTCTACTATAAATAGAAAGAAATTAATTGGCCAACTGATATATATATAAAAAATTAGCCGGGCATGGTGGCGCATGCCTGTAGTCCCAGCTACCCGGGAGGCTGAGGCAGAAGGATCACTCGAGCCCAGGAGTTTGAGGTTGCTGTGAGCTAGGACGCCACGGCACTCACTCTAGCCTGGGCAACAAAGCGAGACTCTGTCTCAAAAAAAAAAAAAAAAAAAAAAGAAGAGAATAGTGAGACTGGTTCAAAGTATTAAAAAGAAAAGAATAGTGAGATTGGTTCAAAGTATTTCAAAAAGAATCATCTACACTTCGTTACCTCAAGTGAAAAATGTATGTATGTCTTGAATAAACTTACAAAAGCAATATAATGACCTAGGTCCAGGGTTGGTTTGGTTCAATTATAGCCAACTGGAAAATAGCAGAATTAGAAGCAAAGTTATCTAGGACTTTAATTTCTTATGTGTATAACATACTGTATCTCCCCCTTTCTGATGCCCTTATAGTTATAATCTGTATCAACTGTTTGAATATGGTGATCCAGGAAACATATGTACTTATTTATATTCTTATTCTAAGTGATTTATTAATATGTGGTTTTCTCATGCCCCTGGAAACTATAAGCTCCTTAAAGGCAAGAGGAAGGCTGCATATACAGGTTACCCAATACTTTCCATGGTCTAGGGTGACCAAGTGTTCTGGGATTGTCTGGGACTGAGTGACTCTCTAGGACTCAGGGCCTTCAATGGTAAGACTGGGAAAGTCCAAGGCAAATTGGGCTGGTTGGTTACTCTACTGGTGATAATGACATCAGACTTCACAGGCAGAAGGCATTTAATAAATGTTGAACTGGACTCTTTCGCACTTGTAAATAACAAAGAAATGAGAAAATGAAATGAAAATCCAGTTTCTTATGGTGGAAATCCACTTCTGAACCTTTGGCTCTCTTTTTGTCCTCTGCATTTCCTGTTGTTTCTATCCTTGTAAAATGAGTTAAAAAAGAAAACAAAATTATTACTCAGAAGAAGAGATAAAAATGGAGAAAAAATGTGAAAGACGTGGACTAGAGATAAAATTAATGAGGGTGCCACTGTAAGGCAGAACAAAACGGAGGGAGAATGAATAAAGTGTCAATTAGGAGCAGCCTTGAAGATACAGGGAAAATGCCTTCAGGACCTAATAAATCCTCCCTTTCTCATATTAAAAGTAGTTTTAAAAAGAATAGTTCCTATCTGACAGAAATTTAGAACAAGAACACATATCTTCTCTCTCCCACAATTCTTGAAAGATATGTTTTAGCAAATATGTAACTGATCTATTTTAACGGCCAGAAAATTCCAGAAATTGCTTACAAAATAACACTACATGTTCTCTCACTATGTTTCTTGGAAAAGAGAATAAATGATCCCATGACACAACCTTCTACTATTCTTCTTCCTTCTAAAACCCTCTGAACTTCTGTGATCTTCAATATTCCTATAACCTCAACTTCATCTGAATATTCCCTACACTTCTCAGTAGTTCTCAACTAAGGATGCACTGAAATTACCAGAGGCACTTTCAAAAACTACTGACACCTGAGTCCCACCCAGGACAATTAAAACAGGATCTCTGGAGGTGAAGCCCAGGCACTGGTAGTTTTAAAAATACTTCCCAGGCAACTCTACAATGCATCCAGATTAAAAATCAGAGTCAAATGCAAACTGGCTGGTCCCTGAGGGGGGCACTTCCCCTGAATAAGAAATAGTACTCTTAATGCTATGGCCCCTAACCCCCAGTCGGTGGCCTATTAGGAAATGGACCTTGTATCACCACCTGAGCTCTGCACCCCAAACCTTCATCCCCAGTCCGTGGAAAAATTGTCTGCCATGAAACTGGCCCATGATGTCAAAAAGGTTGGGGACCGCCATCTTAATGGAAGCTGTTTATATTCTCTCACACCTGATGCAAATTGGGTTGTGTTCTTATTTGTCCTAATACCACCTCCAGACCATTCCCTCTCCTCCTCCCTCAGGAAAAATCCCTTCTCCTTTGAGGCTCACCCATTGAGCTATACTATCTTCTTCCCTTTCCTCATCTAATGAGATCATCCACCACCCTCTCAGAAACCTCAGAATCCAGGATTCAAAACCTGACTCACAAGACTTCCATTTTGCTCAAACTCCTGCCATTATTTTGGGTCCCTTTAAAATTAGCACAAAAACCCAGTCAACACCTTTCCCTTCACCTCAGCCACCACACTCCCTCAGTTCCCACTGGACTCTGTTATACCCTGGACTTTCCCATCATAGAAACACCACCACCTCATAAACCTCTAATTCAACATCCCACTCTGACCTATTAATTCCTTGTGACTTAATTGCTCACCATCCCCACTGTAATTGTTCTTTGACCTCATGTGGACTTCCAGCCCATTCCTGTACTTTCTCACTATCCATCAGCTCCCTCCTGCTTTCCTTTTCCTTTTTTATGAAACAGATGCCATCAGTACACTCTGGCAAAAACCCAAAGCTGCCCTACCTCTGTTCTTCCATGGCACCTACTTGGCTAAATTCCAACCCTCAGGAATCCAACTAATTGAAGCAATCTAATTTTCCACAGTCAACCAGTCCCCTACTACTATCTGGAACAACTATTAATTATTTCACACCTTTTCATTTATTGTTCAAATTTGAATACCCTTCTTCTTCTTCTTCTTTTTTTTTTTTTGAAACAAGAGTCTCACTTTTGTTGCCCAGGCTAGAGTGAGTGCCGTGGCATCAGTCTAACTCACAGCAACCTCAAACTCCTGGGCTCAAGCAATCCTTCTGCCTCAGCCTCCCAAGTAGCTGGGACTACAGGCATGCGCCACCATGCCCAGCTAATTTTTTCTATATATTTTTAGTTGGCTGATTAATTTCTTTCTATTTATAGTAGAGACGGGGTCTCATTCTTGCTCACGATGATTTCAAACTCCTGACCTCGAGCAATCCACCCACCTCGGCCTCCCAGAGTGCTAGGATTACAGGCGTGAGCCACTGTGCCTGGCCAGAATAAATACCCTTCTTCTTAAGTGCTCTTATTCCAAGCAGACCTCATACTTCATGGAGACCTACCTAAATTTGTACTCATCTTCTCCTTTTCCTTCTGATACAGGAAGAAGATTCCACCCATCAAGGTCACCTTCACTTTGAATTACAATCCCTCCTCTCCGATCCTCTAAAAAATCTTATACTCACAACCACTCCCTAGACACACCCCAACATCTTTAACCTTTCCCTTTCACTGGCTCCTCTCAATCACCATGAAATTGTGTTAAGTTCTTCCCATCTGAAAAACAAAAGCCTTCCTGGACCTCATATTTCCCTCCAACCCCAGTCCATCTCTACATTCAATCAGTAGGTCAAATAAGGAAGAACAATATAGCCATCTCCATAAATACTGAAAACACATTTTATAAAATACACTGTATATTCATGACTTTTAAAAACACACAAGCTTAAAATGAATGTAGTTCTTAATTTAAAAAAAAAAAATCTGTCAAATCAATAGGCAATAATGTCCTTAACAGCAAAACACCACTTGAGTCATTCCCACTGAAATAAGGAGCTAAACAAGGGACATCATAATTACCGTGTTTCCCTGAAAATAAGATCTACTCATAAAATAAGCCCTAGCAGGACTTCTAAGCATTTGTGCAATATAAGCCCTACCCCGAAAATAAGACCTAGTGGTGGGCGTGGCTACGCAGCGCATCTGCACAACCCATGCATTTCCTCTCAGAGCGGTAAAGAAGATGAGCAGCCCTTCTCATCTGCCCCATGAGAGCTCTATTGCTCGACATGAGAGATTGGGGCCAATGGTTCTTAAGGAAATAGAGTCGCAAGAAATTCAGGATAGAATTCGAGGTTTGGAGAGTTATGATGATGTTCCAGAAGAAGGCGACTTAACTATATTTGAAAAAAATGTAGATTGTTGGCCGGGCGCGGTGGCTCACGCCTGTAATCCTAGCACTCTGGGAGGCCGAGGCAGGTGGATTGCTCGAGGTCTGGAGTTGGAAACCAGCCTGAGCAAGAGCGAGACCCCGTCTCTATTATAAATAGAAAGAAATTAATTGGCCAACTAATGTATATATATAAAATTAGCTGGGCATGGTGGCGCATGCCTGTAGTCCCAGCTACTCAGGAGGCTGAGGCAGGAGGATTGCTTGAGCCCAGGAGTTTGAGGTTGCTGTGAGCTAGGCTGACGCCATGGCACTCGCTCTAGCCTGGGCAACAGAGCGAGATTCTGTCTCAGCTGGAGACTCAGACTTGTGGGGGGAGGGGGGAAGGGCATTTATTGAAACTTTAAAGTCTGTACCCCCATAATATGCCGAAATAAAAAAAAATGTAGATTGTTGTACCATACTTAAAAAAAATAACACATCCCCTGAAAATAAGCCCTAGGGTGTCTTCTTGAGGAAAAATAAATATAAGACCGTGTCTTATTTTTAACATGATATTTAACACTGGTTCCCAGATTCTCATTGGCATGGTGAGACATGAAGAAAAACTAATAGTTGTAGCTACTAGAAAGGAGACAAAGTCATTATTTGCATATGATTGAGGCCATTTACCAAAATGAAAAAACAAAACAGCAAAAAATATTAAAAATAAATTTCAGGCCGGGCATGGTGGCTCACGCCTGTAATCCTAGCATTCTGGGAGGCCAAGGCAGCGGATCGTTTGAGTTCAGGAGTTCGAGACCAGCCTGAGCAAGAGCGAGACTCAGTCTCTACTTAAAAAAAAGAAAGAAATTAGCTGGACAACTGAAAATATGTATATAAAAAAATTAGCCGGGCATGGTGGCACATGCCTGTAGTCCCAGCCACTCAGGAGGCTGAGGCAGTATGATTGTTTGAGCCCTGGAGTTTAAGGTTGCTGTGAGCTAGGCTGACACCACAGTACTCTAACCCGGACAAGAGAGTGAGACTGTGTCTCTAAATAAATAAATAGATTTCAGTGAAATGGCTGGATAAAAGATAATTATCCACAACTCAATCCTGTATACTAGTAATAAGCAATTAGAAGAAAATAGAAAAAAGTTCCACTCACAATAGCAGCAAATAAATTAAAATCAAGAATAAAATACTTAACGTAAAAAATTATTATATATATGAGGAAACTACAAAATTTTACCGAGTGATACAAAAGAGGACCTGAATAGAGTGATATAACATGTTCCTTGATAGTGACTTCATTTTATAAAGAAGTTAACTTGATAAAATTTGGAACATACCTATGATTTAATATTGGTCATTAAAAATCATGTTTTTAAATAATTTTAAATGACATGGGAAAATGTCACAATGTTAAATGAAAATGCACGTTAAACACTATAAATGAGGATTCCAACTATGTAAAACTATAAATAAAAGATTGGAAGGAAATACATCAAAATGTTAACCACAGCAATCTCTACATTGCAGAATAATTTTAGTTTGATACTTTAAACTTTTCTGAATTTATAAATTGTATATAACAAAAATATATTACCTCTATAGTCAGAAAAAGATTACTTATAAAGCATTTAATACCAACATCTAATGGGAAAATATATATTTACATTAAAACCCAGCATGCCTGACAAACCCAGGGCCCCCCTCCTGCAATATACTGTGTGCTCTAAAGGTTCATGCATGAAGCTCAAGGATCAAGATAAAATCTGGTTTCAGTGCAAATATTACTAAATGGGCAGAAATAACAGGATTTTATTCAAGTGGTCATTTAACTATTTTCCCCCTATGATCTAGTAACTTGAACTCTGGACATGTAATACATGGCTAATTTATACCCAGGATTGGTTACAACAAAACTAATGCCAAAAATTAGGTATTTATAAGAGAAAAGGCATAGCTCACTTTAACCTAACCTTTCAGCTTTGAATCAAATATCTTTCCATATGAAGTACAAGACATTTCAGTATCTTGTTTCAGCAGCAATGTCAATTACTGCAGAACTGTATTTGGTCTAATTTTGCTTTTTTAGCATTGTTTTTGCCTTCTCCTTTCGACGCACAATATGACATAGACATTAAGTATTTTCTTTCTTGGATACCTGCCTCTGGGTTTAGTCTTTCAGGATCAGCCCTTAAGACCTCCAAAATCCATGACCAAAGAAAAGAATAATAAAACCCAAACCAGAAAAAGCCTACTTAAACCATTCAATACAAATTAATGGTGCCAAGCTCAGGGACTGTGTCTAAACAAAATTATGTTTAACCCATAATCACAAGCTAAGTGCCAAGTTCCACTTGTTCAAGGACTCAACCAAGAGATAAGGCAACCCATTTGATTTAATTTAACGTGGTCAGATACTCTTTTCCATAGCAACCACACAGTAGTCACAGTAGCAGTCAAGTGCCCATTTTCTCCTCCCCATAACACAAAATATAAAGAACAGCTTGTACAGAAAGTCGATGATGATTTGATTCAAACAGATAAAATGAGAGAATGGAAACAGTGAAAAGAAAGATGATGTTCCACAGTGAAAAGAAAGACTATGTTCCCTCTGATAAGGAGATGCCTTGGGGAGATGGGGCTTAAATAAAAGACCAAAATTATTTTAAGAAAGAAATGGAATGCCTGAATTGCTGAACGAGCAATTTAAGGGACTTTATAGATTTCCAAAAGAATATAAGAAATAAGGAAAACATTATGATTTAACAGACAAATATTAGAGAGGGGGAAGTTTAAAATGTAACAGTTAAAATAATAAGAAAAAACATTCATAAACTTTATGTGCTTTAAACATTTTACTAGCCCTTCCTACAATTATCAATTCCACAGCAATTATTTAACTGATAGCAACAACACTGGTAACTCAAAGAAGCTCAGCATTAGCAAAGCAGATCACAGTTTTTTTTTTTTTTTTTTGAGACAGAGTCTCACTTTGTTGCCCAGGCTAGAGTGAGTGCCGAGGCGTCAGTCTAGCTCACGGCAACCTCAAACTCCTGGCATCAAGCAATCCTCCTGCCTCAGCCTCCCAAGTAGCTGGGACTATGGGCATGCACCACCATGCCCAGCTAATTTTTTCTATATATATTAGTTGGCCAATTAATTTCTTTCTATTTATAGTAGAGACGGGGTCTCGCTCTTGCTCAGGGTGGTTTCGAACTCCTGAGCTCAAACGATCCGCCCGCCTTGGCCTCCCAGAGAGCTAGGATTACAGGCGTGAGCCACCGTGCCCGGCCAATAGCAGATCATATTTTTAATGTTTATAAAGATTCTTACCAGCCACCTGCTTTTTCTTAGGCTTAGTCTAAATGGTTTTGGGAGACAATGCTTATTTGTATGGCTGCCTTAAGAAAATGAAGACTATAGGATAAGATGGCAAAATAAAAAATGGGCCCCAGAAGGTGTCTTAAATATAGTGGGTATTCAATCAAATAAATTTTTGGTGAAAGAAAATCAACTCCATTCACAAATATACTCACTGTTTGAAGCTATGTCAATCAGAAGAGTTTCTTCTGCTTCTGAGGGGGGAAAAACAGGATCAGGGAAGAAAACACCATTCATTACAGCAAAAAGAAGACCATTCCTAACTAAATAACTGCTTCTCTCAGTCACTACTCCTAGGTCTTAGAACACATTTTTTAAAAAACCCTTTGCGTTTTTTTGTTTTTTTAAAAAAGGATTTTAATAGCACTAAGTTCTAAGTAACCAAATGGAACACCTTAAAGCAAATCAAGTAATGGCAAATTAATAGTAGATAACATAACAACATGTTAATTCAAATGAAGGCAAGTTTAATTCCCCTTCACTATAACAAACTAATTTAATATAATCTGTGTCCTTTAGATACTTCTTATAGAAAGCCAAGGAAGTGACCCTGAAGGCCCAGAGGTGAGTTAGTTTCTTAACTCAGATCTATTCTTTGAAAATTTCCCAATGATTTCATTACCTCTGCCCCTGCCCCATATAGGAGCAGAATATACCTGAAGGTAGCCTGAAGTATATCTTCAGACTACAATTAATACCTGTGGGCCCAAGGCCTACCATACCCAACAAGAAGTACAAAAAAGTTTGCAAGTTCAGAACTCTCTTTTCTCTTGATGGCTCTCTTGGTCGTCTTCCTTGCCTCTAGTGTCTAGACCCAACCTATCTTCCTCCTGATTTTTCTGGATTTGACCAACAGCACCTTCCAGACCCTCTGCGCTAACTGAACTCTGCATACCTGATTAGCCTGGATCCACATTGGTCAAATGGAGTAGTCTCAGCCTTTTATATCTCTCTCCGAAGAGTGAATTGCATATTTGACTCCATTATTCAGGTACAACAGAAACAACTGGTAAGGAACTAAGTTATCTAATATTAGAAAGTAGTTTCAATACTATCACTAGCATGATTAAGCAAGAGAAAATAGGGCATTAGAACACAGGTATTATATGTTCACTATTGTTCTTCAGAAACTTTTAGTTCTGTAAAACCTGAGTGTTTACAGTTTTCAAAATAGATGCACAGGTCGAGAAATAGAAAGGAGGTGAAAACTAAAGGACATAATTGTTCCTTTCATCATGAGGAACTACGGTCTATGTGTATACATATTTTCCCAGATCCCAAGAAGTAGCACTACAATCTAACAACCAGCTGCCTATTTATTATTAAAAACAATACTAAGAGAAACAGGGTAAAAGAGACCCAAGGAGTAGTACAAAAAGGCACAAAGCTAATAGGATACTAATTTAAAGTCATCTTCTTTGGTTTTTTTCTCCATAAAGGGCTACACCTTGAAAAGTGATGTAAGCACAGCAACTTACTATGGCATGTGGCTTCCTTGTTTAATATGTCTCTCTCATACAAAGCAGACTTAATAGCTATGACTTCATTCCTCTATACCAGGGGTCCTCAAACTACGGCCCACAGGCCACATGCAGGTGTTTTTGCCCGTTTGTTTTTTTACTTCAAAATAAGATATGTGCAGTGTGCATAGGAATTTGTTCATAGTTTTTTTCTAAACTATAGTCCGGCTCTTCAATGGTCTGAGGGACAGTGAACTGGCCCCCTGTTTAAAAATTTTGAGGACCCCTGCTCTAAACAATATTGTGGACAATTCATTGAAGGTATTTTTAATTCTTAATACATGCTGTCTTAAAAAGTTATAACCACTGACTTAGCATTTTCACTTACAGGAATAAATCCTGAGGAAATGTGCAGGAAGATTTATGTGGAGAGATGTTCATCACATTATTATTTATACTAGTGAAAAATAACCCAAATGTCAAACATAGGGGAATAATTACATTATGGACCCTGAACAAAATGGACTAATATATAGTCATTAATGCCATGGAAAAGTGTTCATAATATGATGGCATGTGGAACAGACAAAAAATTATATAGGATGAGTACCACTCACCCTGAAAGTTATGTGTAGAAGAAAGGAAAATATCAGGCATTTATCTCTGAAGGATGGGAATTTAGGTGACTTTTTTTTTTTAATGCTTTTCTGTTCTTTCCAAACTTTATGTATATATATTTCTTTTGTGGACAAAAAAGTTCAATGTGGTTTAAGAAAGAATCCATGCAAAGTAGGATACAAGTTTTCCAAGAAGCTATAACTGATACAGAATGTTTCTGCCCGATGAAACCACCAGACTTGCTGGAAACAGGATGCACTTGTTCTCTAGTATCAATTTCCTTTATAGAGCAATATGAGATGACAGAAGCAACACCTCCTACACAAACCTCCCAATTTTTAAGTTTCATTGTAGCAGATGAAACAACAGATTTTCTGTGTTCAGTCCCCAAATTTGAGGGCAGGGAGCCAGATATTTCCTCCCTAGGGTTGATTTTCTTAAGATTCACCAATGTCAACGTTTGAGAATCAGCACAATTGAATGTAAGATGTTACAGTCTGGCAAAGCGTGTTGCCAAATAACTTAATTTCAGATAGTGTGGGGAGAAAGTGCTGAATATATGTGAATCCAAGCGACCTTGATACTTTACAATGAGTACTGTGTCCGTTAAGCCCAAGAATATCATTTAAATCCACATATAGGTCAGTCAGCTTAAAAGACTACCTACATAGGCAACAGTCTACATATATCTCTAACCCCAGCCAGGTGAACAGGTGAGACATAAACCCCTGCAAACTAGGCAATATAATAGATATATTTCAATATAACCCTTCAGCACTCTTAGACAAAGCATTTACCATCTTCTCAATGTTATCTTTCTATGCAAAGAGTAATACACTTCATTTTACATGCAATGACACATTTAAATACGTATGGTACAATGCAATAATGACCAAGGAAAAACACTATAAAATTAGCTAAGCAATTAAAGCTAGTACCTTGAACACATCTGAAGTGGCTATTTATAGGAATGATATCTTGAACATGCTGTTCCTTCTCGTGCAACTGGATTATTAACCTAGGAAACAGAAGAATGCATCAATGAATAGCTACTGAAAAACCCAAACGTCTAGCAACAAAATACTTTGCTGTCTAATTACACAAATCTAGTCTGTCTTCATTCGACTTGCTGCATCTAGTTTCCTGGATCTGAGAATCATGACAGCTAGATATTGCTCTAGGTCTAAGAGGATGTTAGTGGTGATCAATATCTGAGTACCCACACTGTTCTATATGCCATATGTCCTTAAAACAGTTTTCAAGCTTAAGAGCATGAATTACAGAGTATGCATACCAGAGTGAAGAATTAACAGCTAGATGTGAATGCCATGAGGGCAGGGACTATGGGTATCTTTTCACCAAAGTACCTCTAGTTCCTAGCACAGAGCCTGGCACATAGCAATTGCTCCTGTGTGTTGAATCAATGAATTAGAAAATTCATAAACCAGCTTTCCAATTATATCCCTATGGCTTTTAACAAAGAACGTTTCTATCTCTTCAAACAGGCATGCAGGCTCATGGAGTAAGAGGGGGTTAGCCAGCTGGATCAGTCTAAATACTGGTGACCAACAAAGTAGCAGACATCAGAATGCCTTTAGACCCCTTGTGTCTTTTCTCTGGTTTCTAACTTCATGTTGGTATTTCTATGTAAATACGACTGAACTTGGCTCCTGAGTATGAAACGTGAGACTTCTAAATCCATATTGTACTCTAGAAATATTAGTTTTCATTTATTATTTATCCTTAGTGGCCCAGAATCAAGGTATAACCTACTGGTAAGCAGCCATTCTGAACGTCAATTAGCTTTCCCAGTCAAGCACTCTTCAGGTGGTTTTGTTTGTTTGTTTTTGGCAAGAACACTCCTCTTTTCTTCCTGAGACCCATCTCAAATATCACCTCCTCTGTGAAACTTTCCTCAACATCCCCTAAGCAGAACCAGTGGCCTTATCCCCTTTCCTTGCCCCTCTAATAGAGCACTTACCCACTCCATTATAGTTATATTTATTTCTCCTCACTGATTTGAGCTCCTTGAAAGCAAGTACTCGATCATATTCAGTTTTGTCTACAGCCTAACAGATACACAATAAATACTGATTGAATAAATTAACTAGTTTAATTAAGCTACAAGCAGAGGTGAATTTCTAAATATAACTATTCAACTTCTGTCATTGTTTTGAAGGGCTTGATTTCTATTTTGTTGTGTTTTTTGGGAGCCTGCTGTTTTAGCTTTTTGGATTTTTTTCAAATGTGTTAACTTTGAAAGGGATAATGAGTAAGTATGTGCTTAGACAGAAGCAAGGGAAATAAAAATATTAATGCTGTTTTTCTGCTTTGATCTTGCTTGCCTAATTTATAGGAGTTTATATTTTAAGGTGATTACAGGAATATTGGGCAGGAGCCTTTCAATCTGGAAAGTTGAGCAGAGTCTTATAAACCCAGATGGAAACCAGAAACTAGATAAAAAGGCTGAGAAAGCAAGGATCAAGGAGGAAGAGCTTACTTTGATGATAATGAACAGGAACCACTATAATTTCAAAATATGTAGAGTAGAAATGGTGATGAACATTAGCAGTAAAGCTTCATCTTGACTGTAATGTTAAAAACCATAAAAAAGAAAGATAAACTGAAAATTTAAGTGAATTCCACAAACATTTATTGAATATCTACTATGTGTTAGCCATTAAATAAATTACAGCAAAAGAACAGGGCTAAGAATAAGTACAAAAGTTCTACCTAAATGTAATTATTCATTTCAGAACATAAAGATTAAAAATAACAGGTATATAGCAAAACAATAAAAATCAGAATTTGGTTGTTGTCAAACAGAAAAGAATGACAAATTGTGAATGCAGACTCAGTATCATCCCTAGGAAATACTTTGATTTGTTCAAGGAAGGTCAAGAAACAGGTTCTGTCATAATCTATTATCCTTGAAAATAATGAATCTTAGTGTTTGATTCCCTATTCCCCCCAGATCTTATTTTTAATTGTAATTTTGGTCTCTCAAGCAAATTTCTCTTATGGTTAATAGTAAGAACCACAGACCTAAAGATTAAGACAGACTTAAAGTTCTAGGATAAAAAGGCCAAAAGTAAAAAGCTCTGGACATCCAAGTCAGAGAAGGCACCCAAGAGATAAGAATTTGAGGATTACAGATGGTATTATGGTATTATGTGTCTCCGATAACTGACTTCAAAAGAAACTTCTCAATCTAATTCTGAGATATGTACATCGGTTCAGAGCTCAGCTATGCTACTTCCTGTGAACATGCGACTTAACCTCTCTCTGCTTCATTTCTATATCTGTAAAAGGGGGATGATGATAATATTACTATTTCATAGTAACTCACACATGCAAGTTAAATGAATTAATGAAAAGCACTTTCAACAGTACCTGGCACAAATCAAGCCATCAAGTATTACTTGTTGCTATACTTCCATAACTTATACAAAATAGGAACACAAGAATTTGATTTCTCTGTGGGGAGGATATGAATAGTCAGGACAGCTACCACACTGCCAAGTTTAAAGGTTCTGCTAGTACAAGAACCTAGATAGGACAAGGTACTTCTCTCAAGGCCAGCTGCTCACTCCCTTATTAGCTGAACAGAGTTCCAAACCTATTAAGCCAAGGGACCAGACCCTGGGCTGTGGTCATCTCAACAATGTGGCTATTCTATTCAATCTTCATAACTTTGTTTTTACAGAAGAGGAAACCAAGGCACAAAAAATTTACTGGTTTGCCCTAAGGCCACATCTCTGTATGCCATCTCAGCCTTTGGGAATGTTAGTGGTGTTCCACTTTTTCAATTCGCTTTTCTGTTGAATTTACTTGTATTAAACTGGTCTTCCAAGATTTGATGAAAACTGGGGAAAATAGCATGAACTTCACACATCAACAGAGCTGACATATCAACAAAGCAGGATATAGGGAAGAGCTATTTCATAGAACTAGATGATATCCAGTTAGAGTGCCACCAATAGTCTCAGAGAAGAGCAGGTCAGGCCAGTGGAAATTTCTTCTGTATAAACTAGGCAGAGGATCCAAAAGTGGGGACTGAGAAAAATTGCTATTAGGCAGAATACAGTGTTGGGAGATGGTAGGATTTAAGGGAACAACTTTTAAACCAGGAAGGACTCTGATGTCAAGAAACCAGTGAACAACGAAGGAAAGTAGCATAGGCACACAAGGATCAAGACCTATATGTAATGGTCACCATGGATACTTTCAGGATGAGGAGCTAGCAGCAATGGAATGAGGCTAGCAGCTATGGTAATAGTTTATCACAATGATCTTTTGATCCATTAATCAACAATATTTACTGAGCTCCTGGGTCGGAGGCCAAGTGGAAGGTGATACACACTAATAGAATGCCAAATGTCATTTATGTTTCTACACATTTCATTACCTTTTCTTTCCAACAGTCAAGTCAATAAGTGAGGCAGTTACTGGCCTACACTAAACCATTACTGAATTAATGAATATGCCTTGGAGCAAGTGGGATAAGGGGGGGAGACTGGAGGAACCAGTT